AGCATTTAAAAAGAAAATTTGTGCCGCAAACTTCGGTGCATATCTATGGATAATTTGTATATCATCTACGAATAAATACTCACTGATAGTCAACACTTTCTTTTAATGGTGCTAGCACATTAACATATATTATTTTTGTTAATCTTAAATTAATTTAACAGTCTGTTGGAAAATTTTCGTAGTTGTAATATGCATTTGCTCCTGTGATTTATTATACATTGAATTTAATTGATAGAATACAAGATAAAAAGAATGGTAAATATTTTATGCATATGTTTTTTATTAGATTAATATATTAATGCATAATGCATTTCTTCTTAGTGTCTTGTTTAAAAATTATATAATGAAATATATGTTTGATTTAACTTATTTTACAAAAACTGTATGTTTTATTAATTTTGTTGAGAGAGTAATTTTTATGGTATTGTAAGTTAATAAAATATTTTATATTCTTTTACACATAGAATAATTATTACCATTAATTTTATATCAATAAATAATAAATTTAGTAATTTATTTAGAAAATATACAAATATTCTTGAAATTTTAAGATATTAAAAAATTATATCTTTTCAGATTTACAAGTACGTAATAAACACATTTTAAAAGAGTTATTGCATAAATATATAATTTCTAAAAAATTATATAACTTATAAGAAATTTATATATAATATCTATAATTTCTTAAAATGCCTAACAAGTTCTATGATATTATTAAATAAAACTAAAATAGAAATTGTTCCTTCTTGAGAAACGACTGTCTTCAACCTTCGCTCTGGTGTCCTTCTGACAATTGCTGATGTAGGAGGGTACCTGCAAAAGGCACTCCGATGTTGAAGTTAGGATTCAGCTCAGAGCAATAAATGATATTCAATAATAAAGAGTCAACCATTTACCTGCTCTTTCTACCTTTCTTTTATAGACACTGTAATGGGCTAATGGGCCTGCGTCAACTCTGACTTTTAACCCTTTTCATGGTTTAGATAAAATTCTAATTATCATTTATCTTTGAAACGTACTGATTTAGACTAGGTATTCAGTTTCCTTTCTTTTATATGTAGGGTTCATCAATTTCCCTATCCCGTACATAAACAAAGTATCATTCATTACATTTTATTGGTTAAACAAATATTAAAATATGATAAAATAAAAAAATCCTATAATATATTCTGATCATATTTGCTAGATGGGCAATACTGTATATTTATAAGAAAAAATGTACACGTGTGAAACAGAATTTAAAGTTAACTTCTTTAAAAAATGTAGAATGAAGAATTTTTGCTCAAACTAAATGGCCTCTTAAGTTCTCTATGCACGTAAATATTTAAGCTTTTACAGCTTTTAAGGCACTTAATATAGTATCCAATCACTAAAATTTTATTTTGTGATATTCACTGTTTAATTTTCTACCCTTTAATTGTTCAAGCTGTATGTCAACTTTTTGAGAGAGTTAATACGATTAAACACCCTTTTAAGAACAATACCAAAGTCATTATGATAATCATTCAAAAACCTCGAACCTAGCAAACTACTGAGTACTAATCAATAACCAAACGGAATCTAAGCAAGAAATGATAAACAACTACAGTTTTTAACACGAACAAGAAAAATTAATTATAATGCAAATACAAAATGAAAATAACGAGACCTAAATATGTTTTTAATTTTTATAATTTTACAAAATTTTAATTTATCAACAAAAATTATAGTTTTAGTTTTTAATTAATATTTTTTGTTCTTTTCATATATGTGATCTCATAATAATTTAATATGTAACAATCTCTTAATTAGTTACACTATTATTTAACTGTTTTTAAAATAAAAAAAATCAAAATGTTATCAAAATATCAGAATAAAAAATAAGTTTAGTAAAGCAAAAAAAAAAAGAGTCAAACAACAATTACTTAAAGGTCCCATTTCCATACGGTATATGCAAAAATTCTAAGACTTAAATATTTTGCACACAACCTTATACGCAAATATAAAAGTATGATGCACTCAAATGTTTGAAAATAAATATTAAAATCATTATTTATGTAAAAAATATAGTATGAATAGTTTTTAAACGACAATATTATATAAATATTATAAAAAATATTAACTTCAACTTTTTAAAATTGATGGTAAGAAATTAATAATAATAAATTTTTATTAAAAGTAAGTATTATTATAGTTTTATTAATTGAATACAATAATTTTATATTTTTAATAAAAAAATATATTTGTGGATAACTAAATTTAATCCTAAAAAATTTTAAATTCATATTATAATATTGTATTTAAGTTTATATAAATGTTATCTTTATTTAAAAAAAAGGGTTAATAATCAACTATATCAAAATATCTTTACTGTGTGTCAAGTATTAAATGCTTAATAAAAGACAAAATTGTACCATGTAGTGAATTTTATTTTATTTTTACAAAGACGACAAGACAGAAGAGCATATATCCATGTGATCGTCTGCGGCTGTGTATAAACGATTGGACCAAAGCGCGCGCCGCAATAATATAGGATTTGATCATCTGCGGCTCAGACCATATTTCAAATATGCTCCCTGCTGTTATTATTATTATTATTTATTCATTTACTTTGCTAATTCTCTATTGAATTTTTAAGTTTTTGTTGAATGTAAAATTACTTAGATATAACTAGGGAGTTTTTTTTGTTTAAAAAAAGACAATTACATTATATTAAATAGTTATGACTAATAACACTTGACAATTTATTAGTTTACGAACCAGATTCTTGAAAATTATGTAATATTTATCTACTCCAAAAACAATTATAAATCACCATAAAAATATTTTAATAACACGTAATGATTTTTATTTATATTTAAAACTAATACCTTAATAACAGTAATTAACCTTTGCCTGTTAAAAAAAACGCCACAACGGTTAGCGGTTTCGATAAAAGGAGGTGGTGTCAGAGCAGTCCCTTGCAGCATTGAATTATACGCGCTTGCCTTAGTACAATAAAGCGAAAAAAGGGAGCTGAAGTCTGAAAATGACGCAAGTTTTGAAATTTCTCAGACCAATTGCGTAAGCATATTTTCAACATAAAAATTAATGCTTCCCTGAAATAATTTGAGCAATAAAGAGATGCAAATCTGCCTAATTTTCTTCCCTTTTATTTTTTTAAAACAAGTATTGATATTAAACTTTCACAAGCCACAATGCAAGTATTCGTAAAACTTTACACAAAGTTTATTTAAATATATCAAAATAGCTTCTACTTATTATTTTATGTTTTATTTTAATAAATTTACTATAAATTTTGTGAAGAAAAATACAAGTCAACCATACTTTACTATAAATTTTATTAAAATAATTTTTATTCCTGAAAACATTCGCGTACCCAGACTGAACAACCAGAGTCAATACAGTAGATCGCATCCGTTTCATTTACGGGTATAAACTTTTGGTATTTTTCTGTTTTTATATTTATTTATTTATTTACTACAAATATATTTTACTGGAATCAATAAAGGACAACAAATTTTATGAGTGTCCATTAAGACTTGAATTTGAATATTATAAGTTAAACTGAAATATTCTCTACTAAATTATCATATTTTTGTGATACTTGTTTTTTTAGTTTGATGTTATCGGTTTTTTTTTTAATTTAAATAAACAAACAATTGCAAAAAACCAATTTAAGTGGTGATTTATATTCAAAAGTTTTTCACCTCAAAATAAACCAATTTAAGCACGTACATTGTCTTTAAAGCGAGTAATAGTTATAAAGGAGTGTTTGGCTTCATTTTGATATAAATTCCATTGTAATATTAAATTGCTAAATCTTAAGTGTAAATAGTTATATAATCGCTTTGAAATATTTTCTTATCAGTATAATACTAGCTATCTGATTATTAAAATAAAATTTATAAATTTAGCAAACCAAACAAATATATTTGTGTCCCGATTATGTTTAAGAAACCCTTGTCAATCACCGAATATATTTTTTGAAAATATAATCTTATTTGTATTATCTAATTTTATTCAATAAAATATTTAAATACAATATTTAGATTTTTAAGGATAAATTATTTAAAATACATAAAATATAAAAGTGATATTTATATTTAAATATTTTAATTTTAATTAACTAGTTTATAATCTTCCAACTTTAATTTTGCTACTTTTTTAGGTAATAGTTAACTTTTATATTTTCCAGTTATCGTATCTTATTCTAATTATGACAAATACATTCTAAGTATTTAAGTCTATTTAACTCAAAAGGTTGGTCGTGCAAAGAATAACTAATCAAATTTCGACCAATTTATTAAAGACCACGCAATGCTATTTAATTTTTTTTAAAAGTATTAAAGATAATTTTAAAATTTTTTAACATATTTAAATTTTCAAGTGTAGTTTTTCATTTTATACAAAATATACATAAAATTAAATGCTGAATATAAAAAAGTTATCTAACTTGATAAATATTGAAATAACTCTTAAAAGTGTTCTTTTAATAATAACAACTTAAATTTATTTAATAACAAGGAGGCCTTTTTAAATAAGAACATTAAAAATTACAAGCGTAATACGTCAATAATATTTTTATAACAAAATTATACTTACAATTTCTTACCTAATAATTTAAAACATTATCATCATTAATCATAAAAGTGAATTTATTTATCGATTTAATGAAAAATCTGGCAGTAAAGATGTTGACACGATGAAGAAAGTCTATATATATATATATATAAATTCATAATGTGAAAACGCGGCTTCACAGATCACACTTTGTTTGACGGTTTAGATCGATGTTTCTGGGAAGCAGCAAACATCAGAAACACAGAGAGCGATTGAAATCATAGCTTACGCAACCTCTCACGTGGGATCTGTAAATCCCTTCGCATCCTTTGCCCTATATAAACCCTTTTGTGCTCTCACCACCAAAGAAAACAAATCCCAAAAAAATAAAAGTAAAAGGTACCAAAAATTACAAAAAGAAAGAAATATAAAACCCAACACAACACATTGGTACGTGCATCATATTCTCTCTTACTCCTCCTTCGTTCTTTGCTTCTTCAATTCGTTATATCTGTGTGCTTTGCCTAATTGTGTCCATCATCCTCAACCATGGACAACATTGGTGAGGAGTACCAGCATTACTGGGAGACCAACATGTTTTTTCAAACCGAAGAGCTTGACAGGTAATTAATCAATCACATATAACAACATTTCATTGTTACCCAGCAAAAATTAATTAATTAATCAACCATATATTATTCACCATGTTCCTGTATATATCTATATAATTAATAAGAACCACACTCCTACATATACACTAACACTTAACACATAATTTAATTATGGTGATGGCATGCAGCTGGGCAATGGAAGAAGCCTTTTCCGGGTACTATGATTCAAGCTCCCCAGATGGTGGAGCTTCATCGGTGGCATCAAAGAATATTGTCTCGGAGAGGAACAGGAGGAAGAAGCTGAACGAAAGGCTTTTTGCACTTAGAGCGGTGGTCCCAAACATTAGCAAGGTATGTGCAAGTGCAACCCCACCACGACCTTATAATTAATTAATTAGCGGGTCAGTTAAATTAGCTATAATTGCCCATTTCCTTTTCTATAAAATGGTTAAAATCAGATTGCTAACTAGCACTAGTTGCTATGCTCATGCTAGCAACACGTAGAGAAGCATTTATTTGTTGATGACCAATGCGTGGGTTTGGTTGGTGTGACATGTGTGCAGATGGATAAGGCTTCCATCATTAAGGATGCTATTGAGTACATCCAGCACTTGCATGAGCAAGAGAAGAGAATCCAAGCTGAGATTATGGATCTTGAATCTGGCAAGCTCAAAAACCCTACCCATGATTTCCACCAGGAGCTCCCTATTTTGCTCAGATCCAAGAAAAAGAGAACGGATAACCTATTTGATTCTATCAGTTCTAGAAATTCTCCAATTGAAATAATTGAGGTGCAACCTTCTCTCTCTTGTATAATTCACATTGCTGACCAGTACTTATCATAAACTCATGGGTGGCATTATTATTATTATTATAAAAATTGTTAATCTCAACCATTAGAAATTGAAGCTCAATTTATTGTATAATTTTATTAATCTCAATTCTTAAAGCTCAGATTAAGCATCTATAAATAAAATTTTATTATAAAAAATACATATTAATTGTATTAAAGTATATAAGTACAATAAATATTTTTTTAAATAAATTTTTATAATTATTAGTCGTTCATTCTCAATTCAAGAATTGAAGTTAATAAAATAAAACAATTATAATTTTATAATTTTAGTATTATATATATATATTGCATGCTTAACCTCAAATTTAAAGGTTAAGATTAATAAAATTTATCTTCTTCTTTTTATTAGTTTTAAGTTAATGGATTAAAAAAGCACTATTCAATAAATAGTTTTGATGGTTATAATATGAAAATTATTTTTCTATAAAACTGTTTATTTTTTGTCTGCACACGGTTTATATGATAGAAATTGAATTGATGATTGTTACTACTTTTGTTTGTAATTCTAATTCGAATCATAACCAATCAAATCATGTGTGGGGGTTTTGAACTTGTGGATGGCAGCTAAGGGTAAAATATATGGGAGAGAAAACGTTTGTGGTGAGCTTGACATGCAGCAAAAGGACAGACACGATGGTAAAACTGTGTGAGATGTTCGAATCTTTAAAGCTGAAGATTATCACAGCCAATATCACTTCTTTTTCAGGCACGCTTTTGAAGACAGTCTTCATCGAGGTTAGTCTTCCATTTTCCTTTTTGTTTAATTATATGAACCAATTAAATTACTTTTTCTAAAAAATAACAGCTAGAATTTCGGGGGACCACGTTCTATCAAACTGATGAACCACTTTAATAAAAGTGAAAAACCCATTACGAGACATTGGATATTTTAGGGCCAATGATGATGGTAAATTGTGAACATGTATGCCCAGCAGTTTCTGATTCAAACCAGTCGATGAGGTAAAGCAATGGAAGGACCCCATGAATGTTGTGCTTTAAACAAAGATATATCATCCCACCGATTCGTATTCTTTTGCCTTCAACTTCAAAATTTCTACATTCATCGTTTAACAATTCATATTTTATTAATCATTTAAATTTGCAAAAGTAATTTTTGCGGTAATTTGATTTGAGTAATTTTTACGGTACAAAATTCTACATATTTTTACGTAAAATAATCATAATTATTAATATTACATTTAAATATATAAAATAAATAACATAATTAATAATCTATCTTAAAAATATATATAAATATTTTTAACTTTTTACATATTTAAACAATATAACCATCCATTTAAAAAAAATATAAAATATGAGATATTCTTGTGAGGTATTATCGAATGTTAGCTAGCAATGGTTAAGTAGATAAAAATAGAAAAAATATTCTTATAACATCTTTTCAATTAATTTTTTTAATAAATAAAAAGTAAATATATTTTATATTTTTAAGGTATTAAATGTATATATAATTTTATTCAATACTTATTTTTATGAATTTTAACTATTCTAAAATAAAGAGATGTGTAAAATAAAAATCTATTTATTGTTAATTAAAATCAAAGTTTTTTTATAAACATAAACAAATTAAAATTAACGGTGGTGTTTCTACTTTTTCACTTTATACATCTCTTTCGCAAAGAGTTGTATCTTTCACTTTATATATATCAGTGCCTTTCGAATACTAAATATAAAATAAAAAATTATTAAAAATATTATTGATATATTTTTTTTTATAATCTTGGGAGTGATATTGGGTTTTTACTTGGTTGTGTTTTCTTTTTTAATGGGTTTAGTATATTTATTTTTCGCTTTTTTTTTTTCAATAATGCTTTGGATGAAATTTAACAGAAGAGCTAATAATTATTATTTTGAAAATTATTTATCGAAACCTTATATAAAATTCACAACATTCAGAGTACTAATTATACTTAGTTCAGAATTAAAAGGGCTCAATTTTCATAAGAAAAATAAATAAATAAATAAATAAAAGTGTCCCCTTTGTCCTTGTTTTGTTGCAGTGTATCTGGACTAGGCTGCATTTTGCGCCAAATGCAAATTATCTATTTCAAAGTAAGAGAACATATTCAGCATGTTTCTGACATTTCCCACGATATGTTTTTTATTTCCATTTTTAGTTTATATTTTTTATAAATTATTTCATTTTATTTCTTATTCTTAGTTTATTAAAAATAAAAAACAAAAAATATATTGTTTTGTTTCCTTGTAGTCCGAAGGGGACAAAATACGACTTTAGAATAATATTTGGTGGGTGAAGGCATAGACCTATAATTGAAAACCTGTTTCACAATCTGAAAGAATAGGAGTCTGTAGCACCAGTCATCACGCCAACGCAATTCTGGGCACGTTCTTTTTATATAATATCGCCAATTTAATTTAAAATGCATTCATATCCTATTTTTTATGTGTTATATTTCCACTTGCTTGCACAAAAATAAATAATATTTATCAAACAAAAAAGATAATAAATATTTCGGCACTCACTAATTGCTCACTTTCTTCAACAAAAAGTCATTGCGGTGACGTAGAGCGGTAGGCAAATCCCACTGACCCCCGTTTCGTTTGTACCAAGTTTCCAATTTCTCATTTCAGGGTTCGTTAGGGTTCCTTGTTGGTGAAATTAGGAGTGTGTTTAAAAGTTATTAAATTAATTTTTAATTTTTTTGTTATGATTGAAGGGAAGGGAGTCTTGGCCATAAAATAATTAAATCGAAGTATTATGAGAGAAAAATTTTCAAACACACCATTAATCAAACTTTAAAATGTTTTTTTATTAATTGTTTGAGTATTGTATAATTTATTTAAACAATTGGTAAATTTATTTTATTAAAATATAAGTATTCAGTAAATTTGTTTATTTTTAAAAATTTTTATACACTTCTTAAAATAATGTTTTAAACTTATTATTATTATTATTATTATTATTATTATTATGTATTTTCAATATTTTAATAAAAATATTTATCGTCTCCTTTAATGTTATATTATTTTATTGCAATAAAATATTTCATTTAATATTACACTATCCATTTAACTTTTTAATAAAATAATTTGTTTAACAAAATCGGTAAGAGTTTAACATTAACCAAAAAATTTCATAAAATTATAACTAACTAAAAAAATTATGTTAAAAATTATAAAGATTTGCTATTTATTTTCCAAATATAACATTAAATATAAAATATTTGGATTAATCTCCATGTTAGCCAGTAAAGGAATATTTTAAAGGATTTACCATGTTTTAAAAATATTTGGATTAATCTCCATATTAACCAGTAAAAGAATATTTGCATCGGTGTACCTAAACGCATCGGTAAACTTATAAGTCATATTGTGAGGTGAATTTCCATCATTCCCCAAATTTTCGACATTATTTTTCAAATGTTGTAATTTTTAGTAAATGTTTTTTTTAACATGTGTTCAAAAATATTAGTTAATTATGCTTGATATTCGTTACTGAGTAAAATTAATTTTATATTTATTATTATAAATATTTTTAAAAATTAAATCAACAAACACATAATAAATAAAAGTCATACTAAGAATTAATCAAAATTAAATTAGTGAATATATTACTTATTCGTATTTTATTGTTGATAGAAAAAATACAGCTTAATTGAATTTTTGTCTGTATATTTTAATGTGTGGGTAATTATGGTTCTTTTAGTTTTAATTGTTTATTTTTAATTTTTTAAATACTTCAATTAAGTCCTTCACCTTAAAATTAAGATTTTTATTATATTTTATATTATATTTATTATTTTATTTTATTTATTTGCATAAATTAATAAAATTTTATTATTGTTATGAATCATGGATAAAATTTTAAAATAAAAATTTATTTTGATTATTTAAAAAATTATGAAAACTAAACATTGAGCAATTAAAATTAGAAAGATTAAAATCATAATATATTAAAGTATAAAAAATGCAATTAAGCTACGCTAAAGAATATTTTAAAGTTAACTTTGGCGTCAATAAAAGTTAAAATTTTGAGTGATTTTTAAAAGAGTTATTTTATTTAAATTTGTATACCTATTTTTATCATATTAATTATTTTTTTCATATTTTTATTATAAAAATATTGATGTATAGTACAAATATAATTTTGTTTTAAAAATAGACTCTATGATAGCTTTATGACGGAAAGCTTATATAAACTTATAATTAATTAAATGAATTTTTAAAAAAATACGGTAATGACAAAAATGCCAAAGTAGTCACATCACCTTGTAATCTTTTCCACTAAGCCAGAAGAAAAGTTCGTTTAAATTCAGACGTTGGTGAATGATGTTGATTTTTAACGCAATAATTGAGGATCCTAATCATTCCGAATCATAATGATTAGGAAACAAATATAATTTTAGAATCCAATGCTAGTTAGTAAAGAGAGTCTACGATTAATTGAAAGATATATCAATGTGAAAGCTGAGAGGTATATATCATTATGAGAATTAATCAATGGCACACAAAAGCTCTAACCAGTGCGTTTTGTTTTGTAATTTTGTTTCATTACTGTGTTTTCAGGCAGAGGAGGAAGAGAAAGATGTTTTGCAGATTAAAATTCAGAGTGCCATTTCAGCTCTCAATGATCCTCAAAGCCAAACCATCTAATCAATGAAGAAAAGAGATTAGAGATTAGGGTCATTTATGTGTTGAGAGAAGAGAGGTGAGGCAGCTTAAAGTTCTTCTTGTGGGAATTTCTCCTTTCAAATTCTCCCCATTCAATTAATGTTATCTTCTTAAGTGAAAGAGTCTTCAACTTTGTTTCAAGGAATGTTTGCAAGTTTTAATGTCAACAGCATCGCACCTCCAAACTTTGTTAACTTTTTTCATATCTGCCGTGGAAAAATTCACTTTTAAAGCAAACTAACCATCATTTCAACATCAAAATAAATTATTATTTATCAAATATAAGGAAGCAATAATAAAAGAAAGTTCTAAAACCATTGATGATTTATGAGAATAAAATTTGATAGAGTTAAAATGGTTATTTCGATCGAGAACATTGATTCAAAGCTGTGGTATGAGAATTAAGAATGATTTTTAATTATTTTATTTTTTATTAAAATATTATAAATTTTTTATTATATCTATCTTAAATTTTTTTATATATATGATAAATAAATTTAGAAAGAACATAAATTTTCTTAAATTATCAATTATTAAATCTTTGCAATCTCTGCAATCTACATTGAGAACAAACGAAACTCACATTCAAACAAATGCAGGTTTACTTTACCTTCGTTCAGAGATACAATAGTGTTATAAGAAATATTGCTAATTACCCACAAGTAAATTTGAGGTCGTTTAATCATCTAAACTATCTATGCCCATCAAGGTTCCTTCAATAGATCACTTCCTTCCATCTTTATATTCTTATTAAAAACTGTTTTTAATAGAGTCACAAGTCATTTGTTGAAATTTAATAATCTCAAAAGTTACAACGTACTTGTAACCTGAATATCAGTGTTTGATTCACTTTATTTCAAAGAAAACTATTTAATATATTTTCTATGTAAAAGGTTTTAGAATTGATGAAAAGATCTTTATATATATAATATTTAAAATATTTCAAAACTTTATTTAAGTTTTTAAAAATTATCATACAATATACTTACTACAAATACTTATTAATCGTATTAATAGTAAAGACAGGGTTTGTTTTGTATAGGATAGTTTGGATTCAAAAAACAGAATTTTTAAAGGAGCAAAGGAATATAGAGCATTGGGTAGGGTTTGAACTTTGAACGGGTCATAGTGAATTGGTGATCGAGCAGAAGAGGTTGGCGTTCCCAATTCTGTGGCCATGGATTCTCTACTAGCAAACTACGCTTCTTCAGACGAAGAAGATCAACAAGAGCCGCAGAGACTTACACCGCCCAAAACGACGTCGTCTTCTACCCTTTTCTCTTCTCTTCCTACGCCCAAATCATCTTCATCTTCATCTTCTTCTTCTCTCTTCCAATCTCTTCCCCAACCCAAACAACATTCATCTACCACTTGGTCCAATTCCAGCGAAACCGTTTCCCTCCCTCACCCTAAATCCCAAATTGACGAACCACAACCTAAAAGGGTCGTGCAATTCAAGCCCCCAATCATCCCTTTGCCAAACCCTAACGAACTCGACGAAGACGATGACGAAGAACAAGAGGAACAAAATAGAAGAAGAAAATTGGAGTCTTCCACTCAAACCTCATCGGTGAAATCGTTCTTGTCCAGCATTCCCGCGCCCAAATACACTGCCACTCTCGGGGTTCAAGCGAGTTCTGGTTCAGGCCGGAGATCCATTATTGAAACAGAAGCGCCGGCGTCGGCGCCAGCGCCAGCGCCAAATTCCAGTGGTTCAAGCGATGTTCCCGTTGATCAAAGTGCAGGGAATTACGAGAATTACCAATATGATACTGACCAGTATGCTGGTTATTATGGCAATTATGGTTCGGGTATTGAGCCAGAGGCTGGAGTTGCTGATTATGGGAATAATGGTGATGCCTATGCAAGTTATGGTGGCTATGGGGATCATGGAAATAATTGGGGTGATGGGTTGGCGGCAACGGCACCGGAAGTGTCTGGGGTTAGTGAGAGTGTGATGAGGTTTACCGGTAAGAGAGGGAGGCATGAGGTTCCCGCGGAAGTGATTGAGGTGAAGCAAGATGAGTTGATTAAGAATAGGCCAAGAGAGGATCAAGTTAAGCTAACTGGGATAGCTTTTGGACCCGCTTATCAGGTATTCATTTTTCACTTGTGTTTTCTCATGTTGGGGTAATTTTTTATTTTTATGTCAGATTTTATTGGATAAAGTTTCTAGGTGAATAAATGTTGAGCCCCAGTATTGTAGTGTTATTCAATGGGGCTTTTAATATTGTACATGTGTGAGTGTTGGCTGCGTGGAACATTGTTGAGTACACAAATGTTTCAAATAACCTGTGAATCTCATCAGCTGCTTGATGTGAAAATATATTCAAGAGGAGGTTTGGTAGACAATCAAAAGAATGATGATCTTTTTGCTTAACAAGTGGGGATTGCTGGAAGAGGAGCTGAAATGTCTTTTGTTAAGGAAAACCTGAACTCCTTTGTTACAGACTAACAGCCAATTACATCCTAAATCTTAGAATAGGTATACTTTTTGCTATCTAAAATAATATGAGTAGAAACAAAAAACACAAATATGATACAAATTAATGCTATTATGCCAACGCAGAAGTAGAATGAGCAATGCCCATGTAGAACAGCTGAGAGGGCAATAATTGAAGATGATTTATGTTTTTATGAGCTGGATATATATTTGAACATCGTAGAAAAAAGGAGTGGATATTATTTGCTGGGATGATGTGGAAAGGTTGGGCATGTGATGGTTACATCAATCCTCAAGGCCATGGTGAGGCCGTAGTAAAAGCTTCAAACATAGTGTTCCACATTTTTGTGAGCAGTAGAGGAAATTCATGGCTAATAGAGTTCAAAACTAGACAGGGTTGATGTTTGTGATTTGGTGCAGACCACCTTTGATGCTCCTTACATATTCCTGGAGCCAGCTGAGTGTTGGGTACTACATTTTGACTCAGTGTAATGGATTTGTATTTTGGTGATGGAAAGAAGGGAAGACCTTAGAGGTTTTGGTACATGGAATGACCATTTTATTGCATTAAGCTGGTAAGAAACACAGTTGTCAGACATCTAAGAAGTTGTGGGGGGATAATGGGATATATTTTGGAGTCAGCACATGGTTGGAGAGCCAGGTGATTTAGCCACTAAGGCCAGTGAAAAAAGGAGTTGAAATATTAATTATTCATAGGAAGATGTAAATGACTTATATTTGACCATCAATTATTCAAATGGGTATTGGGTAGTGACAGATTTTCATAGATAGCCTTAAGAGAGTGATTATTGAGAAAATTCTCAGTCATTTGTCTTCTGTGAGAACAAGTATCAAGTGCATAACTTGATTGTAAAATCCCATTGGTTAAAATATGAATTCACATTATGGTTATTATATTGATCCAACTCATGTTGCATTAATTGTTATGTGAGTCACATATGCAACTCTCACTTTGACAATATTATTTGTGGCCTTTTAACTTGAAGTCACTACTCACTACAATTGCTTAGATTAGAAGAAATATGTATTGAAGTTTTCAATTGTCATTTGTGAGAGGGTGATTATAATGTCAGTTATTGAGCATACCACAAAGAATAGAGGTGTGTGAATGACTTAGATGAGATTTATTCCTCCTACATAATTGAAGTAATTTCTTCAAGACATCAATGGAGTGAGATTGCAAAATGCATGGCCGTGTTGAAATGAGACAATATGAGATATTTTTTTCATTTGTTTTAGTTAGTCTATCCAGATAATAAGAAACCAAAGATTGAACTAAGTGATATGTTCCAAGTCTTGTATTTAATTAGAAAACAAGATTATATTACATGGTAACATTGATCACCAATAAATCATGCCAAATAATTAATATTCCCATTTCTTATAAACAATGTATTGTTAGATATGGCACTCTATTTGTAATATTAAAGTGGGACTTTAAGATTATTGTCATCTTACTAGGAATTTACATGCTCATGCACTTAGAATAGATCAGAATCGAAATTTAAAATTCATAAGATATATTTGGTTGGTACTTTGTAGTCCAAGCATAATGAAGACTATGAATGAAGGTATGACATTTATTTAGATTAAAATGAGCCAACCAAATTAGATGGTCTATACATAAGCCTGACCTAAGTCATATTATGAGCATGAATTGGCTGCATTGCTCACTACTCCCTTAAGGCGGCTATGTTCATATATATATATATATGAACAATAACATCGTTGTTTGCAGAAATTATGGGAATTTGAGCTATTGGTGTGTGCGCCTTGTGACTGTGTATAAAAGTGTGTGTGGTTATATTTTGGATGCTTGTGTACTAAGGATATCCTTCCAAGGAACTGTAGTTTTTTCTCTTGCAAGTCAAGGAATTATGGAATAACCTTATTGGATTGCTTCTATACTAAATTATTGGAGCTTCATATTCTACCATAACTATCCCTAAATGTTATTACATAAAAACTTAACATCTTAACATTATTAATTATAATTAAAATTGACCACCATACATCATTACTATCACCATTCATCACATTATAACTCTGCATGTTTTGTGTACCACTTAGCAACCTGTGATTTTTCCTCTCATTATTGATAAACAAATACTGAGGTATGTGAATGACTTAGATAAGATTTACTCCTACATAATTTGAGTGATATTTTCTGGCCATTGATAGTGCTCATAGAATACAAAGTTAGTGGTAATGGTAATAAAGAAAAATGTTTAGTTTATTTTTCACAGCCAGAACTTAAAGAGTTAGGCATTGTGTCGGTACAGATTCAAATCTTCAAGAAATAGGAAAACTTGGGTGTTGAGCAGCTACTAGAAATTGTACCACTCTTGTAATTTTCTTTCTGCTCCCTAATGGTATGTTTTCTGTTATTTATTGTGTTTATCAATTTTTCTCTTGTAGCCTGTTTCGGCAAAGGGGAAGCCTTCAAAGCTGCACAAAAGAAAGCATCAAATTGGTTCATTGTACTTCGATATGAAACAAAATGAAACTAAACTTGCTGAGCGGCGTGCCAAGGGCATGCTTACCAAAGCTGAAACACAAGCAAAATATGGATGGTGATTTGAGACGATGATCTTGTATCTAATTCCATTGAAACGTGAATGATAAAGTGGAAGTTTTCATATTTAGCTGTTACCCTGTGTTTCACTGTTCTGTCAAAAGATGTATACGTTTGCTCCGTTTTCGGTGCAAATGATGTATTTCTATCGTAATCGACAGAGGAGTTTTAGACAGTACAGATTTTTCTCTTTATGATGAATAAAATCATATTCCTTTTTTTTAACTGGGTTTAGATGTCAGGTTTTTAAATATAAATTTTGTCACTTATTCGTTATCCTTATATTTTGTTGAGCACAAAAAATGAAAAAAACCAGATGCATTTAATAAATTAAAAATTTATAAAATGCCAGAGAGAGAAAGAAGGCGGAGGTATGTTGCGATGGTGATTTGATTTTACTTGAGTCGCTTTTTTTTTTTTACCACAAACATGATTCATTTTAGAGAAATGATAATAATGCAGTTCTAGTTTTAACACTATTATTGAGTGAAATTCTATGTTTATCCTACTAAATTACCGGGGTCCACTATTTATTAGTGAGACATGACAGTTTACTTGAATAATGTGTTTAAAAGAAAATGTTAAGAGAGTAAGTTAACAGTGATTTTCTCTAAGTTGCCGAGTATTATTCACCAAGCATGTTAAAGGCCGCAAAGCTGTGCTTCCTAATCATGTGGGCTAAAGTTGCCACCGTTTCTGTTTAAAATCCAGAACACACCCCTATATGATTCATAAACGATTTTGAATTTTCTCAGGTTATTGAATAACGTGACATAGTTGTGTTAGAGAAATAATGGTATAATTTTTATCTTTCTTTTTTCAACATAATCTTATCATATTACTTAATAAGGTGAGAGGATTCAAATTCTCTAAATATATTCAAATCGAACATGAAGAGCAATAAATCGAAGGCATGAATTTTAGAAGGATCAAAATAAAGGACAAAGGAGAACGCATTTTCCCATTTTGATACATCACTTGTATTCATTCATACAATCATGCATACAAATTTCTAATAATACCCAGGAAGATGAATTGGCCAGATGTTTTTCCAATGCAACTCCACAAGTCTACGTGCGACTAAAAATAAAGTTTGATCAAAAGGTTGAGCCATTGAACCCAAAGAATGACCGCTGCACCAGAAAAACCAATAAAATGAGATCTAGAATGAAACCATGACATTCATCTCATGAAAAGGAAGCTGTTTGAATAGGTGTTGTTGACACATCTACCATGATGACATTCACAATCACAAAATGTTTCAGCAAATCCAAAACAATGATAATGAAAATGGAAAAATAAAAATCAAGATAGAGATCTCTTCTTTATGAGAAAAGCAGTACAAGAAAAAGAGGAGCATATTATGAGATAAAGTTAACATATTTTCTCTGTTACTGCAGAGAAAGTATTGCAAAACAATATCAGAGATTCAGAAATCAATTTCTACTTAAATAACTAGTGTTGTTAGCTACCAATTCCTTGAAAAACAGTATTGATTCAGTACCTTCATTTTCCTCCTTCAACAAACATGATAAGAATCATAATTGAATTAAATGGATATATAACAAACCTCTAAAAGTTCAAAGAACCAAAACCGTTTCAATATATTATGGCAGAGACTCAGAATGTATTTTCACATCAATTAGAAAACTTCGATCAAGCTAAACAGTATCAAAGGGTGGTGACTCAAAATTATAAAAGCCATCAAAGGACAAAGCAGCAACTAACCTGAACATCATAAAACTTGATATAGAAACGGGAGCTATCAATGTATAACTTAGTTTGGAGAATTTCTGCAATTGTAGAACTCAGTCTTCCATTAACACTTGGACCAAGGCCCCCAATTGAGATCAGTTCTCCATAAGCAGCTGGCTCTTCAGTGCCACTAAATGCAATAGGCACTCCCCCATTCAACAAAATCATCACATACTGAAATATTTTAAAAAAGATCCCCCAAAAAAAGAGACAAAAATCTATGTCAAATTAAACTAAAAGTTAAATAGCAGAACAATTATTCAACATTAGCCCATCAAATTACTCATACAGGGAATAGTGTTAATAACTAGTCTAAGCAGATTTGACTACACGGGTTGGATAAAGTTTTGAAATTTATGGAGGAATATGATCAAACGAGTGGTGGACAATATTGAATTGAAGGGAAGAGATAAAAGTAGACTTAACGGATTCGGGTTTTCCGATTATTTTGGCAACAGCTTTGGTGGCATCCCTGAGAATGTCAGAAGCAACGACCGTGTCAACAGGCACGTTTGTGAAGAGGTTTAAGGTGGGCATTGCTGCCTGCAATTATACACACACATGCAAGAGTGAGTGGCTTTGGGTCAAGCCTAGAGGATAAGTTGTGCCGTGTCAGTGATAGTAATATTATTTTGTCAAGTCCACTATGTATATATGTCTATATTCTTCCTTCCGTTCTTTCTAGCTGAAATGAGGCACGGGATGTGAGTGGGAAGGGGATTATAAATTACTCACTTCATATTTCAGTAATTTTTTTTAATAATTTTTTATATTTGGATCAAAACTAAAATATAGTTGAAGGAAACTGTTTTGATTTTTGTTTTATTTGTAATTATAAAATGACAAATTATTTTTTAAAAATTAAAAGTGAAGTTTTATACAAAAATAAATTTGCATTGTTTGTGAATTAAGTTAATGTACTTTTAAGTCCTGTTTATAAGATATTAAAATTTATAGAATTTATCATTTTAAAAAATGTCTATTCTCACTCTCGTGTGTTTATTATTATTTTAATTTATAATACTTGATATAGTTGTAAAAGAAAAAAAAATAGATTAAAAAATTTAAAAAAGAGTATAAGATATTTAAACTTTGTCTACAAGATTTTTTAAGAAAAAGGAAAGAGATCAAGTTTATTTGATAAAAATTCTTATTTGAGAGCTTTTATATAAGAGAAAAAAGTTGTACAAGTCCTTAAAAAATATTTTAAACTCATATTTTTAAGTTTATTTAATTTAGAAAAAAATTATTAACTTTTATTCTCTTTTTTTTTTCTCCTTCTTTGCTCTTCAAATTTTATTTTATTTTAACTCAAATTTCAAATTGTGAAGTATATAGAAAAATAAATTTTATTTAAAAAATAAAGATAACTGAAAATTCAGAGTTTAACTGTAATTCTTTATTTTATAAAAATCATACCATCTAAAATAAAAAAAAAATTTGCTAAGCGTAAATTAAAAAATTAAAAATATTAGTAGATATCTATAAATATTCAATGCTTACTACTTTAAGCATGTTCTTTAATAGAAAATATTTTAAACTCTTCAAGTAATTTTTAATAACACCTTTTAGTAAAATTTAATAAAAAAAATATTATATACTCATTTTTTTCATAGAGAAGACAAACAATGAAAGTTTAATTTGATATGAAATTTCAGAAAAAACTAAATGAAAAAGTGAAATAATACATACAATAGATACCATAATTTTTTTTTTAAAAAAAAATCAATTTTATTGTATAGAAATTGATAATAATTATTTACTATGAGCCTCTTAACGAATGCTTGTCACAAGCATACTCAATCAAAGTCTACACTCTACAAGATAAAGAATCCATCATTTCTCTGAAGACAAGAAGTCACCGTTGAGTGACAGTTTCATGTAGTAATAATAAGTTAAATGCGGTATATATTAGTTCCATGATTTAGAAGTAATTTCTTTCATAACATGAATTTGATTCATTAAAGATTGTTTATTAGACAAGACACTTCTAAATGAAAAATAAATATCCTAGAACACAGATAGTGTAACAGGAACAAGGAACAAAACTTAACCCGTCATCTTGATGCTTACCAACCTATACAAGCGCATGCAGGAATGATATATTACATCTATATGATTTTTCATAACTTCCTTGTTACGATGAGGATATGAATGGGCAAGCAGTTATGGCATATTAATATTGGTCCTACTGGCTTAAAATTTCTTATGAACTAAACCTACTTTAAATAAAAAATAGACACACCACTAGATTGGTTTTTCACTACATTTCTTTATATTCAATTATGTATATAAGAACCCAACTATACAGACTTTAGAAATGCGAAACAAAATTGAAAAGAAAATACCTATTTATAAAAATAAGACATGAAAACACCAATCGATGTCTCAAACCAAAGAAGTCCTTACTTAATCACTTAGAAGGTAGTACACCCTTGTAGCATTAGTGAAACGCGTTAAAGAGCTCTGCAAGATCCATTTAATTGGTTTCACTAATATATTATGAAGGCGCCCGGCCGCTAGGGCAAAGGCATCCCTCCCCTCTGCCTCTCCTCCCCTTAGCAAAAGATTGGGTAAAGTATCCAGTAGGATCCTTTACCTTTTCTTTTGCTAGCTTAAGGGTATGGAGCCACACGCATTTTTATTACTACTTTAGAATGGTCAAATCTTTGCTAGTTAAGAAACAAAATAGGGACAAATTTTAAACAATGATGGGGTCATAGGGTCAAGGTAAGAATAGTTAGCAGTACAAAGAGTAACACAGAAGAGATATAAAATATAGTTTCATAGCCCGATTGTTGCCGCGAATAAGCTTTAAATCAATGCACATATACACTACAAAACTAAAAATTCAAAAAATGGTTAAATATTTCATTACATTTTCTATGGCACTATTCAACTCTTAACCACATCCAAAATTACCCAATTACATGGTAACAAAAAAAGAAAACGTGATTGTAGTGGGGTTTCATAATACATTCCAGCATTATATCTCTCCAACGAGACTCCATTAGAACAATTTGGCTCAAAATGAAGTCATCGTTGAACATAGAGAGACTAATTCAAAGTCTGAAAGTACTATAGCCTCCTAGGCCAGAAGATCCATACCCGCTATAAGGTTGTGATGACAAGGAAGATGAGGAATATGATGAACTGCCCAACTGAGAGTAAGAAGACCTCAGCCCTGTATCTAACCTGCTGTAATTACTAGAGACAGATTCTTTGTGACTGCTTATAACTTCCTGTAAGACGAGATTTATATTAGTAAAAGCATACCAAATATTTTATTCCTCCAGCATGACTTTAAATATTGATAGCAAGCCACCCAGTCAATTGTCAGTAACCAGAATGAAAATACATTTGACTGATATATGTAGGAAAAACAAGACATGAATCATGGTCATAATCTTGCCAAACCCATCATTCCCCGATTAGTAAAACAGTCCAATGGAGAGAGTCAGGATATAATAAGGCACTTGATAGACATGAAACCATAGAAAACATACCTATACTTGAGATGAAAGTTAAGAGTAATACCAAGAACATAGAGATAGGGAAGTCTACTAATTTCATCAGATAATAAATGAATTTAGCAAAAACTCAGGATCAGATGAAACTCTCACTCCATTCAGGCCTAATAAAAAAATTTCAACATCTCCCATGATTTGCCTTAGAAGGCATGTAACCTCTGTTTATGGAGTTGTACAAACAGGTCCTAAATCTTACCTTTGAAAAGTCAGTGCAATCTCATCAACCAGAGAAGGATTGGTTTATTCAAGTCTAGAAAGAGAAAACCCAACTGACATACATCCAATCACAATGGTCATATGTACCCAAAAAGAAAGTTAAATAATGGTCATATGTTTTGACTTATGAAGATTTAATGAGTTGAGATAATGCCCACTTAATCATGTTCTATGTTAGTTTATGGTAGTACGTATGAAAATAGGAAACAAGCATAGTATTTAGGAAAATATGAAAATAACATTTCTTCTGTTCAACTTTCACCCCTACCAACATATCAAGAACAATAACACCCAAGTAAGCAAGACAGATGAAACCATCTCCGTCTCTAAAGAAAAGGATAAATGACCTGTCCCATATTTCATTCCCCTTTTTAGTACTTATCTTTCAATTTTCCTATTGCATGATCAAATTGTAAGTAGAATAAGATTTTAGCCAAGATGAGGAACACAGATATGAGAATATCAACTAATAGCAAGAGTCGAAATCATTCCTACAAGCAATGTATTAATATCAACAAAAACACGCAACTAAGCAATGAAAACCAATTACTTATCCAAGCATGCATGTATGCTTATGCATATCTCATTGTAATAACAGGACCAGAAAAACATAACTTTCTTTTCATAAGCCCCTACCTGAATCAATTGTTGTGCTGTTTGAACCTGAGATGAGGTGCCTTTTATTTCCACAATGATTTCATCAGGTACCCTGCTCTCCTGCACAGTCAATATGGCTCCACTAGTACGGCGAATGTAATCTATGTTAGTCCCCTGTATACCAATGATGTCCTCTGCATAGGACAGGGGTATTTGCATTGTTTGTATTACCTGATACGTGGAAAGAATAAAAGAGTGGAAGTTACCATCATTATCTACAAAAATAATAATAATAATGATGGCAAAGAAGACTGGTGTATGAGCACACATGTTACAACTGAAAAAGTATGCCTTCACTTCACAGTACTAGAAACTGATTTAGATCATATGGTATGGGCTCAATTTAAAAACTTGGCTTACAGTTAGGTCAACATGAAAATAAAAGGTACAAAAGTGTACATAGAATAAGTCAGAAATTAATGTTAACTTTGATTTAAAATTTGGACACCTAAGTAAACTGTAAAGAAGGGCCTCATATAAAGAACTAGTAGATATTATGATACATAGGTATTTTTTCAACAATTTGGTAAAAATAGACAACAAAAAAAATAGAAACAGTGACATTGTCAAGTTTCCAAGGAAGTTCTCATTTAAATAAAAGATGGATAAAATATGGGTGCATAAAATTGCTAACCGTGGTAACAATAGGAGCACTGGGGCGACTAATAGCCGAAGATCGAAGACCAGAAAGTGAAGAATCTTGCCCATATAGTGACATCGTGGAGGGAGGGAGCAATGAATCCAATTGACTTTCACGGTCAACAAAGAGAGAATCCCTTTTTGTTGAAAGAGGAATATCACCAACAATGCTAGGTTGAGAAGCACTATGCAGTGATGGTTTGTCAACCCAGGTATCTGCTTGGCGCTCTTGGGAGATTGTTGCATTGTACTTGAAAAAACAAAAAAATTGCACATTTCAGTGTCAAGATAAAGTAAAATCAGAACAAGATAGCCTTTTAGATTTTCTTTTAAGATATTCGACACATTAAAAAAAAAGTAGTTCTACATATAGCATATACACCGGAATCAACTTTTTTCAAATGATTTAAAAGCTGGGAAATATCAAACTTACAGTTCTCTCAAATAAGGGAAGAACACTGTGATCAACTAAAAACTTCCTCAGGTGCCCAACTACAGCTTCTAGAGCCTTAAGGACCTTCAAGGCTTCTCCCTGCAGTTCTACAATCCTCTCATCGGCAGCAGCATAAAATGGAATCTCATCTGTCACAAAATGATTTGGTATCAGAATCACTTCCATCATTAAAAAAAAAAAAGTATCAAGGGAAACAATGAAAATCTCATTCACATTAGGAGCATAAAAGTTAAAAACAAGGACACAACCAAGGTAGTTAAAATCCCGATTTGAATCTTAAAATCTTACGATTTTACGATTTTGGAAGTCTCACCGATTTAAATCGTGGATAAAATCTTAATTGAGTAAACTCCTTGTAAAATCCCGATTTGAATCATAAAATCCCTCAAATTGTGGGATTTTACGATTTCACTTCGATTTTGAAAATTTCTAGCAAAGTCTATTTTGTTGAACCCTATCGTACGCCTCTTTCATATATCTCCTTTTTATGGAATCTAATTTGCCTCTAGCAGCTTTAAACCCTAACATTGTTGTCAACATTCAACAGTCCTCCTAGTGCATGCAATCTGGTCTGCAACTAAATCTATTGTTGTTGTTCTTGCATCTTTTCTATTCTGGTCTATTTTTTATTCATGTAAATGCATTACATTCTTATGGAATAAATTATGATTTGTAAGTGCTACGTTGTTTAAATACTTTTACTGATTTGAAGCTTTTTTCCCTTAATTTATGATATTTTATATGAATAATATGAATTTATATCATATATATGAATTTTATAAAATCTTACGATTCAATTTACGATTTACGATTTTCACTCTCCTTTACGATTTAAAGTAAAATCCCGATTTTAACTACTTTGGACACAACTCATTGGAAAAGGCTCCTCTAAAATGAATTTTCCTTTAAATTAAGTAAAGAAGTATCAATTATTGAATTTTAGTGGGTTCAGCCTTCAGATCACAATGCACTTTAAATTAAATTAAGGGTGAACACATTTTTACTTCTCACTTTAGCTATAAGTTCACTTCCAAATAGTTTTACCTGGGCTCTTGTCATCTTGACCAAATTAAATTCACTAGTAAATTAGGCTCCAAAGACAGGCATTTGGTAACACAACTAATTAGGATCAAAAGAGAGAGAGACAGAACACAATCTAATGAAGTGGTTACAATGATCAGACCTGTCTCGTAATAATAGTAAGCATCTATCCTAAGTCTTAAACTAATATACAAATTTTTAAAACTTGCCACACACAACTGAAAGCATTGAGGGGAACATCCACACATAAGCATCTAACCACTCATCTGAAAGGTAAAACGCTGAAAAGACAATAGGCCCCTCATTTCAATAACTTCATAGAAGCCAGCTAAAGAATGATCAGTAATTGAATATATGAATCAGCACATTTTATATAACATTAGTCAACATGAGGAAGAACATACAAAATAGCTGCTCTAAGACATAGAGGGAATATCATAAATGTGAAACCCATTATAACTGCAGTAAGCATACCTCCTGACAATACTCTAACAGAAGCACCAGTATTTTCCTGTATAGATTTAATTAATGAGCCCTGCTTTCCAATCAAATTGATAGCCTGCGTTGAGGCCACCAATAAACGGATGGAACAAAATGCAACCCCTGATGCTTTATTCTCACCATCAATTTCAGATAATCCCGAGACACGTTTAAAAACCTTTATAACAGCATCCATTGCAGGAGAAAGAGGTGCCTCCAGCTCTTCCTTCCCTGATATGAGTACCTAAAAACAAGATGTAAACCATGTTCAGGACAAAACCAAAGAAGACACAAATCAAATTAACGTCCTCATCTACGCAAAACATTTGCAAAAGCCAGCAATCTGGAAACAAACATCATCTGAACAGCATATAACCATATAGACAAACTAAAACATATAGTTAAACTTCCCTTCACTTCTGCAACTTCCAACGTTCTGCAACTTCCAACCTACGTTGAAAGTTGCAAGCTATAAATTATAAAGTAAACTCGACAGCTTTATGTTCAAGTGACACATTTATTGCCAACTGGGCAGGCACAGGGGCCTCAAGTGTAATTCTAATAGCTGTGAGGCTAACCAAATCCCTCCCCAGAAATTCAAACCCTAAAATTGCAGGTAAAGTTGGAACCCTAGACATTATGAGCTGCCTCCCCCAAGCATTTAAGCCCTGCCAATAAAACCTTATTCAAAATACTATCTATCTATAAAATACGAAACCCAGATGTTACTCCTAGCAATAAAACCCTATTCGAAAACGCATAAGAATATACACGAAATTATGATGAAACCGTAAGTTGGAACAGAAAGTAAACACAATTTATAAAAGGAAAGTAACGCATTGAGCAGAAACAAAAGTAAAGTTATAACCTCCAGGAAGTAAAAGTAAAAATTTGCTACTGTAGAAACAATAATAATCCATGTGAAGGAAAGGAACCAAGCAAAACCTAGAAACAGAAAACGAAAGAAGAAACCCTAGAAAGACGGAACACTGACGATTCGATCGGGAGTGCCGACGGCGCCGTCGAGAACGCGAATGCGAGCTCGAGTCTCTTCGCAGGTCTTCTTGATGAGCTCTCCCTTGCGACCAATGATGCTACCGACCTTGAGGACAGGAACGATGAGGCGGAAAACGCAGTGGCCGGGCCAACCGGGCCACCTCTTCTCGGCTGCAGCGGCATCCGGTGAGGGGTTGGCGTCGTCGGAGGCAGCGGTGGTGGAGGGTGGTTCGGCGGCGGAGGAATGATCGGTGCCATTCTGGATTGGGTCGACGGTGGCCATAAGCGAAGAAATATCAGGAAGGGTTAAGTTTTGCGTTGAGAAGGAACAGAAGAAGGGTTTATGGTTCACTTCTTCTTCTTATTATTCTTTTTCTTCTTCTTCTTCTTCTTCTTCTCACTAACTAATGTTCTCTTCTCAGTGTCACCCTTACCCTTTCTCTCTTGAACGTCATGCCTCACGTGCTGATCGTATGATCTCTTTTTCTGTTTTTTTTTTTTTAAGATACGGAGAGGGCCCTAAGCCCAATAACAACACACAAAAACCAAAAAACCAGATACATCATCACCGGGTTCATCATCCCCCGTCACCTCCAACTTTAATGTTAAAAAAGTATACATCAGAAAGTAAAAGATAAACGGTTTTGATTGACTTTAAATTTCACCAGATTGATAAGAATTTGAAAAGGAACAAATTCAGGTAGATTTTAAAAAAAAAATTATATTTTTTTCAAAATTAAAGTTTTATCTTAATAAAACACCATTGTTTAATGTTATTACATGTTATTAAAATTAAAAAAAAATCAGTAAAAAGTAACACAAAAATATTTAAAGTATTGTGTCCAAATTTTTTTTCAATTAAAATGTGAATCGTGTAAAAATTAACAGCACTTTAAAATATAACTTATCAATTTGAAGTGAGTAAAAATTGAGAAACCTGATAGAATTCTTGTCATTTTGTCTCACTGCGTTTTAGATTTCAAAAGAATTAATCATTTAATTGAAATATGATAGTTTTTATATTTTAAAATCATGCTCATTTTATACTGACAACAGATCAACGTAATGTTTCTAGCTATTTTTTTTAAAAAAAGTTGTTTTAATATTGATTTTCTACTTAAATTTTAATATATTGTTAGTATAAATATTTTTATAATATTATAAAATATTCATTAAATATGTATTTAAAATTAATTATTATAAATTTTATTAGTTTTTGTTAATAATATATAAAATGCTTGATATGAAAATGAATTTCAATTAATTTTTTGATAAATTTTAATTTTGTTGCATTGTGGATATATAAATTTTTGTACTTTCAATCAATTAAAATATATAATAGTTATTTTTTAAAAATTAGTTTTGGTAAAAGTTAAAATCTACAACAATCCATAATTTGGTTTAATGATAGTCAAAATATCTTCTGCTATAAGTATATTTTAATTAAATTCAATATTTAGTTATGTGTAAATAAATCAGTAAAAATATATATTCAAATATATATATATATAATAATTTTCGCACTTAAAATTAAATTTACTTATCTTAAAGTATAAGATATATTTTACAAAAAAAAAAGAGTGAGTAAATATCTAATTTCATTTTTAAAAGAAATTGCTCAATCCATCTAAATTATTTTAAAAGGTAGAAAATTTATTTATTTTCCATATAATCACAATAAAAATTAAAATTAAGAAGCCTCAAACTCAATATTATAGGTTAAGTTGGAGCAACCTCTACTACTAGCAATAATAATAATAATTCTAAACATTTTTAAAAAAATTATTAAACTAAAATTTATGAAATGAAAACTATCTAAAATTGAAATTACAAATACTCTCCTAAAGATTCAATAATAATAAGCGTGGTATATTTTCCAACGATGCTGCTCTGTCCAAACTAAATATAAGTGTTTTATTTTTGTCCACAAATATAAGTGTTAATTATCTCCAAAATTCAAAATTACGTGCATAACTCTTGAGGAGTTCTAAATGAAACCCAAGGCCCAATTTGAAAAGCTGACGTGAATGGGAAGCAGAGAGGGGAAAACTCGACACCTCACAAGGCATTTTCAGAGGTTTGGAACTTTAGATAAAGCCCAACACAAACCCACTTACAATCCAATGGAAAGCTACAACCTTCATCAACACCCCACTTTTCTTGTCCGTGTTTTCGTCCCCATCTTCTAGCTGTCCCAAGTTTATTGGGTTTTGGCGCTTCTGCTTCTTGTAACTTTGCATCTTCTTCCCAAAAATATATATACCTAATTCTAAGGTCCAAAGCCACTTGCTATTTGTATGACGATGCTCGTGAAGAATGGAATATATGGTCCCCAATATTGGTCTCTTTTGTTAGCATATGCTTTGTTGATGAACTCGCTTGCTGTATAAGACAGTGACACCGTGCTAACAAAGGTGACCCCTGTAAATCTTGTAAGGTCATTTTGAAATTCAAAGCAATGCTTCTTCTTACTTGGGTGTATTCGCCGCTAGTCCCTTCCAATCTGCACATTATATACACATTTACCTTAGAAATAGGGGGTCTCAATTGGAATGAACATGGAATATTAAATAAGTGTAACCCGTAATAACAGTGTTGTGCATTTGGTACAATCCCATTTCAAAGGATAACATTGTTAACGGTTACATTTGTCGGCAACTTGTCATTGTGTAGTAGTAAGATAACCAAGTCCATTTTTGGTTTATTTAATCTGTTTACAAATTTGTTTCACTGTAATACAGTTATTTGACAAAATTATTATAGTGGTTTTTGAAATTTTAATTCATGTGGTATCTAAAAGTTTTATATATATATATATATATATTCTTGCTGTCTTATTAAAACTTCTCATTTACTTTGTTTATGTTTGGAGACCCTTGACCCACTTTCTCATTATCATCAAATATCATCTTTTTTTTTTAAGTATGGATTCATCAAATTTACAATGTAATTTTATTTAATAAAAATATTTTAAAATATGAATAAAAATGATAAAATATTGTCTTATTTTATAAGTTTACAATTTATCTGAAATAAAATAAAATAAAATAAAATATAAAACTAATATTTATTTAAAACAACATATAACTACTAAACTTTAAGTTATAATCAAGTAAACACTTGTCGGCTAATTCAACAGTTCATTTTATTAAATTTTTAACTAACTTTTTAAATTTTAATTTATTTTATATTATTTTTATGTAGTTAGTGTTAGTAGTGAGAGAACTTGTGTACCATATAATATTTATTTATAAGGCATTTTTCTATCAATAAAATGCGGTGTCCCCTCGTTTTTGTCCCTACAGTTTATGTGATAAAAACATGATTTTGTTTTTGTTTTTTTTAAGTTAAAAGGAGATACTTTTGACGATTAATTTCCACATTTCTAGTAAAACATTGTATTTTTTTTTTGTAAAATCTGCACGAACTGTTTAGTTTATAAGTTTGGTTTAGAAGAGAGATTAAAGAAAAAATAATTTATAAGTCTGGTGTTTGGATACTAAACCTGGGGTAGTAAATAGTAATCATCGCTTTGCTTTAATCGACAGTATTAATCATTAGTAATATCACCATATCAAGGGAGTGTTGTTATTCATTGTGACATATCTACAATTGTATTTGTTTAATTATAATTTATAAAACTTATATTTAGAAAAAAAATGGATTAAAGTAATAAAAACGAGAGTGACAAGTCCTTAATTAATATAAAATTCATAAATCTGAATTTGAAATTTAAAGCATCGAGATATTATCTTATGTAGGCATAGATATAATCTGATTAGCTGAATAAAAGCGTCAAGTCCACCCTGAATCAGATTATGTGAAGCTGTGGCTAGCTACAATCCACTCGTTAAAAAGCTTATAAATTTGAAGATAATATTATGATAAAATGAAGCACAACTAATCGGTGCTCGCAACCATATACAGAGTCACAAGTTTTGATTAAATCTGTACCTTATATAATCTTACACTTCTCTGCCATTTGCTTATCCAATTTCAATGGTTGTGGAGATTCCAAGTCATTCCCTTGCCATGATACAATACTGCCAAATATCAACTATCAGTATATCACATGAGCACGGACTTCAAATAACTATCTTTGGAATTATTCAATTTATTATGTTTTTCTAAATACATACAACTAATCGGATTTAACAATTTAACCCCATATTCTTCAATTAAGGAAAAAAATTGTTTTTCTTTTTAACTAGTGAAAAAGTACTTATACGGTAATCGTTATAATTATATAACTACGTTGAAAGTAGTTAACGTGATCTTTTAGTTTAAATATTAACACATCTAATAACTCATGAGAAATGAGAAAAAATATAGCGGAAAATTTTGCAGAAAGGGTTTTTTGTTTCTTTTCAATTTAAAAAGTCAAATAATTAAAAGCAATGTCAGATTTTTATAAAATATATCAAACAAATTACTATCTCTTCAAAAGGATTTAAATTTCGATTCGGAATATACAAACAGATATTTCTTCTAAATATCGTAATCAGAAAAAGACATTGGGGTCTGAAATGCAATCAAGAAAAGTACAGCACTCATTCTTTTTAAATGGTTCTACACGAGGGAAAGAAAATGATTTTTACCCGCCAGTTTTTCTACAAGTTTTTTACATCAAAATTCTTTTATTAAACGAAAACACGAGAATATAAAAGATTGTGTTTTCCTGTTTTATTAGAAAAATGTTACTGTTTTTGTAAACCGAACCATAATTTTCACCCCTACCTCCACGTTATGTTCTCATTCATTTATGCCATTGTACCCGTAAGTTCATAATTAACTAAAAAAATAGTATTTATTAGTATAATTTTTGAATAAATTATTAGCATAAATATTTTGTGTTTTTATTAATGAATTAAAATATCAATAAAAATAAATTTTTTAGTAAAAATTGCTTATATTGTTAATGTTATATTATCAAATATTATTTTAATATTTATAATTCTTATTTGTTAATAAATGTTTTTTTTCCCTTCATAATTTGCCCCTATGGGCTTATGCATATTATAACTCGCTTTTAACGAGAAAATATTAAAATTGATATTAGTGCTACTTTTGTTTCTATTTACGGTATGGAAGCAACTGAGAGAATCTTGACTTTGTATAGCACATTAATTTCACGAAATGGAATGAGTACTGTGGAAACGAAACAATATTTATGTTTATATTTGCAACGTTTATTTACTGTAAATACTTAATTTTATTAGTTACTGCTTACTACAAAGAAGAATAGATAATTATGTAAAAAACTGTATAATTAAATAAAAAATAGCCTCTTACTGCATTTCATACGTACACTAAAATTATTCTTATTTATTTAATTAATATCAACCAACAAAGAGAACAAAAAAATTTATAACATAGGGATATTTATGGATATCAATTTTCATAACTGATTTTAAGTAATTATAAATATTTTTTCTTATATTATTCTTTTAATTTTAGGGTTTAACAAAGTTATTTTACTGATTGAATTATTAATATCTTTTATATTTAATGTGTTAAAATAGTGTTATTTTCAGTTGTTTAAAGCTCAGCATCTGCTTAATTGTTTTTCATTATATTCCAAATAGGAAAATGACTCTGAGCTTTCTGTCTCACCCAACGGTGATATTGACGGAGCTTATTATTTCTTCATGTGAAAGCAAAGCGCCTGGGTAGTGAATTATGTTTACTCTAGAGATTAACATAGAACTTTTGTGCAGAATTAACTAAACTGAATTATATTAATCAAATAATTTTTAAGTCCAGTACTCGAGGAGTTCACAAATTAAGCTACGTAAATGAAAAAATCCATCGCCCGAGTGTGTCTAAACTGGTAAAATATCTATTGAGCAAGTATCAAAATTTTGACACTTGGGTCGGTATTAAAGAAGAATAGTACGGCTTGACCGGAGTGTATAAATTAGTATATTTGTAGAGACAGAAAAACACTAGATTTTTTTAAGGTGAAGAAAAAGGAAAAACATTGGATTTTAAATCAGTAATGAGAGTCATTGAACGTAATAAGAGCAACGTAGTATGTTTAAGTGCCACAGATGGAATGCGGAAGACACCAAAAGTGTTGGAATCATTGGTCGTAGGACACATCCAAAAGGCCACCTCTTTCCTTGATACACGTGAAAAACTGAGGAACACCTAACCCATAAAAGGTATGCCACGTAAGCCTAAAAATCTTAGACATCCAATGAAATCGCGCCTTGTCACCAGATAAGGAGCCTTTTTCCATATACCCAAAATAAGCTTTTGCAGGAGGTATGGTATGGAATAATCCTGTAGCTACATCCATGCCTGTCACGGCCATGCTTAACATTTTGATTACTCAATTACTAAACTGCCCAAGTTCATTCAAACCTTTTTTTTTTTTTTAATTTACTATTTCAATTTGAATTTTAAATAACCCGTTACAAATATGGGATGAACATCTTTCATACTTTATAGTTTACGCAGTTTCCTTTTGAATAAATGGATTTGTAATTGATACTTAGTAATTTGGTATAGCAAATGCTGCAACGCAAATAAATGCCATAAGTGTTAACGCATTTATTGATGAATTGTGAAAGGCACAACAACATGATTTAATGGAAATAATAATTAAACAGAGGCCGGCTCGGCGAGTTAACTGCATAATTTTCCTCTCCAAAAACTAATACTCTATTCCATCATCTCTGGTTTCATCACACACACGGCTATCCAAAGTATTTTTATAGAGAAAACAGAAAAACTAGTGAGAAGGAAGGAACTTCGAGGGACATTATAGTAAAAGAACAGAGTAAAATAATTGAAGAGGTAAAAGAAAGAGAAACTAATAAGAGTGGTCCCTACATTAGGAACAGCAGAGAAACTGAGCATTGTCTCTTCCTTCGTTCTCATCTCCATTGCTCCAGCTCCCCCACTGCAAGTGTGACTTCTCCAACCCTTCTCTCTCTCCCCCAACTAGTGACACAGTCGGTGGCTTATTCCCACCCTGCAAATTGCAATTGCCTATATCTATAGGGACCCCAACGGGTCTTTTCCTTTTATCTGCTTAGCCTCGTGACCCCCCCTATCTCTCTCTCTCTGCATCTCAGTTACTGAATTTAACACTGATCTCACCTTTCATACTCTTCAATTCCTTTTCATTGGCCAACTTCCCTTTTTTCACAGTACTTCCTTAGCCAACGCCAGTTCCGTTTTTTCATTTTTGCCCTTTCCAATGCTCTGTTTATATAACTTCTCTTTCTAGAATGGGGAAACTTTTTCACACGATAAATTAACAAGTCCCAGATTTTTTTTCTTCACATATAGATAAATACACATATGATTCTGGGGTGCTCTTCTACTCTGCCTGTTATATTCCTAATGCTCTTGGCTTTTTCTTCATATCCTTTTTCTCCTTTTTTTAAAATAACACAGTAACTTTTCCTGCTTGTACTTTTTGGGTTTAGGGTTTTGCACCCTCTTTTCAATTTTCCTTTTCCTTTCCAATTCTAAGCCCACGCCTCTTCAATTCTAATTTCCTTAACTTGTAGAACTCGAGTGTAAATTTTAATAATAAAATATATATTTTTGAAGAATTTACAAATGTCTTCGTGTTTGAGTGGAGCTGGTGGAAGAACCTATGGATTCGATTTCGAATTCGTGAAATCCCCGTCATCGTCGACCAGAACTTCGCACACATCTTCTTCCCCTTCCTCAACCATCTCCGAATCCAGCAATTCAGCACTAGCAATCTCCACCAGAAAACCTAGGACTCCACGAAAGCGACCCAACCAAACCTACAATGAAGCCGCGGCGCTCCTCTCCACGGCGTACCCGAACCTCTTCTCCACCAAGAACCTCAAAACGCACGCCAAATTCTCGAAACCCGCGTTCGATTATGACTCTTCGGAGCTGTTATTGCCGTTTACGGTGTTGGAAACTTCGTCGTCGTGTTTCCTATTGGAGCAACCGATGCAACGCCACAAGCCGATGGAGCCAAAGGTGGTGAACGTGCAGGAGAAGCCGTGCCAGAGCCCAGGGGAGATAAGCTCCAGAGTGAATTCCATTGAATTGAACGATGATTGCGAAGAGAGTTTCGACGCCGAATCGATTCTCGACGAGGAAATCGGAGAAGGCATCGATAGCATCATGGGGAGCAGAGTCCAAGAGGATGATTCCAACGACGCTATTCCGTGGACCGCTTTTGGCGGGAAATTGGATTTCCGAGTCGGGTTTCCGAGACCCGGAATTAGGGCTCTCCGCCACGTGGATGATGGTAATTGGTGGAATTTTCCGGCCGTTGATATCCTTCAGATATCGCCCAAAGTCAGCAACAAGCCTCCGCCCTTGGCGGCGGAGAAGAAGAATAAGAAGAAGAAGAAGGTGGAGAAACCGGTCGTTGAGTTGAACACCGCCGAATTGCCCAAACCAAAACAGGGTTTGATGTTGAAATTGAATTACGACGGCGTTCAGAATGCCTGGTCTGACCGTGGCTCACCCTTCGCCGCCGACAGCCCCGTCTCCGATGCACCGGAAAATGACGTTACTGTAAGTTCCAATAATTAACCGCTTTGCTAAATTAAAACCTTACTAAGTTGGGATGGTTTGTGAGGAAATAACATCGTTTTAGTTTAATATTATTTTTTAACTTATCATTTTTGCCCCTCATAATTTATAAATTTGGACTTTCACTTCACTCTTGTGCTAGCATTTTTAATCACGTGGAATATGGGAATCACGCTCTTCCGAACTGAAATAGTAAAGTATTTCATGCATGTCTTGCTTCATTCCTCTTTACTTTACTTTTCAACAATATATATATATTTAAAAAAATTTCTCTAATGGATTTAAACTTGGGGGGGCATGTTATAAAGGTTAATAAAAAGTAAAAGCATCCTTTGTGGTCTGCTACTATTATCAGCTTTTATAAAAATTATAGTTATGATGACTTTATGTTCATTTTTAAATTTTTGTCTTGCATTAGGCGAATTTGTCTTGGTTGCAAAATAATGGGGTATTTTTGGCCCGGTGCATGTTAATCTGGGTCATGCTCTGACATGATTTAAACTATGATACATGGGAGTTGTGAGAAATGAATAGTACAGTAGTACATGGTAGGAGGGTGAGGTGCAGAGCACTGAATAGCTAACGAGTTGTTTTTGGTGTTGTGGGAGGCAGGCGCGGTTGTCGCAAATTGACTTGTTGTGGGACAATGGGGGAGTGAGAGAAGCTAGCGTGCTGCGCTACAAAGAGAAGCGAAGAACGCGCCTCTTCTCGAAGAAGATCAGGTATCAGGTCAGAAAAGTCAACGCGGATCGACGGCCCAGAATGAAGGTACGAGTTGAGGACACTGAAGAAATTTGATTAAAGAAAAATGGAAATTCTGCTTTATGATTTGGGGATGATAATTGGATAACGAGGTGCGTGCGTCATAGTTTCCTTTTTGTTATGGAGAGTGGACCCCTTATGGTGGTTGGTCACTTTGTCCAACTTTTCAGGATCTATCTCATTCATTCACCTTGTTTGGTATCTTCCCAGTGCCATGTTTAATTTTTCTTTTCCTTTTTAATATTTCAGTAACAACTCCTAATTCTCCCACTTTTCATCCCTGTCCAAATATTCTCTTTTTATTCTTTCCTCACTACACTAATCTCTAAATAAAATAAAATAAACCATGTTATTTGTATCGTCTAAAAATGAGACATATGTTCCCATTTCCACAACTAGGAAAATGTATCACGGAAAAGTTCATATCAATCCTGGAAACGTGAAAGGGGGAATAAGGTGAAAAGACGTAAACACATCAACAATATAACTTCAATTTTTTTCTCAAGAAATTAAATTATGAATTATGGCTTCTTTATGTTTGTCACACTTGAGGTAACACGTTTAACTTGTTTGTGATGTGGCAGGGGCGATTTGTTAGGAGGCTCAATTCTAGCTCAAATGCGCACAGATGATAGTATGTAGTAGCAGTAAAGCACATGCTTTTTGGGACTTGATTTATAAAAGAAAAAGAGAGAGAGAGAGAGAGTTTATCTAGTTATATTTTTGTAACCTTTACTCTTTTTTTCCCCTTTGGTTCTTTACTTTTTGGGTTCTTCCTTCCTTCGCTAAGATAAGGGAGAAAAGAGGTCGGATGAGATAAGCAAATTGCCTAAGATTCTATTACACCATGATTCTCTTCGCGTTGTTGCCTCGGGGAGGTTCTTCGTTTAACACTTGGTTCCTTTGTATTATGAAATGATATATAAATCACTTGTACCACATAAATATTAATAAGGCACGCATTGTTTCTTCCCTGCCACTTCAACTAATAACCCCACAGCTTTGTCGTAAAAAAAACAAAAATGGTAACCCTAGGATTTAAGGTGGAGAAAAGGGAGGGACATGGGTTTGATCATACAATTAACGATGATTGTTATGTTGTGTAATTAATACGTGTTTACAAAATTCCTAATGTGATAATGCAGATTTGACACCAAGCAATGAAAGATAACCGTTGCGCTGGCCATCTATGGGAGCAGTCGAGAGTTTACAATTGAATTATGATTCTTATTTTCAAAGTATTCATCATCTTTCCTCAGACTGTTACCTTGTCAGAGTTTAATTTATTCTATTTTGCGATAATTAGGTGTAGTAATTGTCTAAAGTCGAATCATATCCACTACACGTTTAGAATTTTACCCTAGTGCTTCATATGCTACATACTGAATTGATATTCGTTGTGTTTTTCGTCTTTGTCCAATAAAAAGAAAACACGTTTGATTTATTTTTCAAAACATATTTTTGAAGCTTGTCTTAAAATTTTAAATGAAAAGGGGTTATTTTAAAAATTAATTAATCCAATTATGGAATTAATTAAAATTCGTGAAAAGGTTTTCAATTAAAAAGAGGGAAAATGCAAAATAACGAAGAAAATAAATCAATGAATGTGAGCTTATTATCTTCGTTGAAAAATTAAAGTTAAATTTAAATAAAACAAAATTAAATTAATGAAAACCAATATAACCACTCTTTATTTCAGTTCCACTTTAGTCTGCTGACGTGTTTGATTTGATTGTAAACAATAATTAAAATGAGCTCATATCAGTAAACAGTTTTTTATTATAACTAAAAAGGATGCGAAAGTGACAAGGTCGTAAAACTATTTACAATTGAAATAATTTATTTTTCAATTGAATTACTATTTTTACGAAATCATTTAATTTTCCGTTAATCTATTAAATAGTTTTTAAAATGATCTAATCCATGAACCCAAACCAAACTAGGAAAAAGCCCTCTTAGGGATGCAAAACCTGGAACCCATTAAGGCCTAAAATGAAAGAGGTTAGGTTTGGAGTGAGAGTTTGATCGCAATCGCATCGCGCTTCTCTCTTCTTCTTTCTTTGAAAAATTGTTCTCTGCCTGAGTTCATGATGGCCTCTTTCGATACTCTCACTTTCATGCAACTTGCAATACAGCAGGTAATGCTTTCAATGCACCACACAGCTCATTTCAATTTCTTTAATTGTTTCATATTTTTCCTCTGCTTAATGTTGCAGGCAAAGCTAGCTTTTGATGCCCTTGAAGTGCCCGTTGGGTTAGTTACCTTCACTATTTCGTAATACTTCAATACTATTCCAAGTGCAACTTGTGTGATGGTTGTTAATGGTGTTTTAGGATTAGAAAGTCTTAGGTATTATTGAATAGATTGGTGTAGAAACTTTGTACCTGTCACTTCATTGGAGCATTATTGCTTTGGTTTATCTGTTGCCAGATGTGTAATTGTTGAGGATGGGAAGGTTATTGCATCAGGCAGGAATCGAACTACTGAGACACGAAATGTAATTTGATCAATGGCCTCTTTTATGTTTTCATACAGTTGTTTTCTATGCTAAGTATTTATAACATATATTTGTTGTTTGGCACTATGGATCACTTTTGAATTTTCTGCTTGTCTACTGAAACCATCATCTATGAAATTTGGGTCTGCAACTCTATCTTCTAGGTTATAGGAATTGGCATACATTTTTTCATGGCACAAAATGGGAACAAAATTGCAAATTTAAATTTTTATGGCGCTGTAAGGAATGACGAACTATTGTTTGTATAGCATGAAAGAACTTAGCGGTTTAAGATAGGTGTTCACTGGCTGTTAACTGTTGTTAATGGTAACATGAGATTGAGAACTTATACAGAGAAATGATATAAAGCTTGCTACCTCACATTTTGTTGATTTGTGTAAATGAAAATTTGTGGCAGAATATTCATAATCATTAAACATGTATTATTATATTTATAGTATACTTATAAATGCTGTATAACGAAAACTGATTTAACCCTCCTAGTAATTTGAAAAAGTTGAAAACATTAACTTAATAAATTGCTTCGGTGGTGATAGGTTTCAATTTGCACAGAATTTACATATGATATATTTGTACTCCATTATTGGTTTTATGGACTAGGGCGAGTGATCACAAAACTTGTAATATTTGTTTTCACTTGGTCCTTGTTTTTTATTAATCATTCCTTGATGGCCCTGAATGAAATTCTTGGTTAAGTACTTTCATTTATAATATTGGCTGTGTTCCATTTTAAATCATAAAAAACAAGGATCTAACTGTTCTAGTGAAATTTTCTGTTGTCAAACATGTTCTTGTTAAACAAAAAATTTTCATTCTATCTTACAGGACTCAGTAACGGTTATTACATATTTCACCAAAGTTTTGCACAATTCTTTAATCTTACTTTTCTTCATTATTTTAATAATTTTATCACCCATCAATTTCTACTATTATTGCAAAATAATTTGTTACAGGCTACAAGGCATGCCGAAATGGAAGCTATAGATGTGCTTCTAGAGCAGTGGCAGAAAAATGGGCTCTCAATCTCTGAAGTTGCTGAAAAATTCTCAAACTGCAGCCTTTATGTTACCTGTGAACCATGCATAATGTGTGCATCTGCTTTATCAATTTTAGGTACGCTCCTTTGAGTATTCAGTTATAACAGTTGCAATCTTTATGCTGTCCTTTCTAAATTCATATGTTTGTGTATTATATATCAGGTATAAAGGAAGTATTTTATGGCTGTTCAAATGATAAATTCGGAGGCTGTGGGTCAATACTGCCATTGCATTTAAGTAACACTATGCCACACAATAAGTATGTCTCTTAACTCAACAACGTCTATGCAATGCTTGTCTTGATTTATTCTTTTATTTTTTTGGGTGCAAGTTGTTTACTACTAATTTTTACTTTTCACAATCTTTTCAATGCATGTTTTATTGTTGTACTTTCTCATATCTGTCTGCTACATCCACTAATGTATGTAAATAAGTAATTCTTATTTTTATTCTAACTAATAGTGAAGTTCCACCTAGAAAGGGTTTCAAATGTGCTGGAGGTATAATGGCATCAGAAGCTGTCCATCTCCTGCGAATATTCTATGAGCAAGGAAATCCCAACGGTAACTGTTTTGCTAGCACACAAAATCTTCAAAAAGCTTTCAGATATTGCTGACAAGTTATAGGGAAGGTTGCATAAGTAATAAGTTGTTCATTTTTATTTTATTTCTTCCAAATTCAATCTTATGTCTTTTAAATTTCTTCTCAGCACCAAAGCCCCACAGGCCAATAGCACGTCAGGCATGAAGTTTAATTTGTATATCACTAGGTTGGTTATCATTGGTTTTGATTATTTGTAGCTGAACATTGTTGTTTGTCACTAATACTGTGGTTGTTTGCTGACAGTTGCTGATATGGTTACACACTATGTATGACCTGGAATTCTGTGCAACCTTGAGCATTGTCCGTGGGTACAAGCTGATTTTGAATGTCCAATACAAGGCTTTTGAACTTGAATATCAATTTCATGTACGATTTAAAAACAATGATGAATCATATGTTGTCGTTTGAAACGAATCTTACTGGATTGAGTTCAAGATAATTGCCAAAGGGAATTGAAGCCTTTCGAGTTTGTTAAGTATTTTTGTGCTTCTGACGAGCAATGAGTTTCCATTGTATTGTATACGTAATATGTAATTCCTAGTTATGGTCTAATCGGTAAAGTAGTTCAAAATTGTGTCTGGCACGATGCTTTACGGTAGGAAGGTATCCATTACCAATTTGCCTGCTTCCCCTTCGGGAATAGCACGTTGGAATGATACGTTAGCCATAGAGTACCTTATTCTTGCTATAATTTCTTAACCTCATTAAATTTAAGAGTTTGTAAAAAGCTATATTGTGTCTTGGTTTAACTTATTTTGAAAAAGTAATAATGTGTGTGTGTGTGTATATATATATATTAAACAAGCGATTATTTTCTCCAAACATGCATTTAGTGACGCCACCCAAACTATATATTTTCAACTCGTCAGTGTCAATTACTTGCCTCGTTTATTTCAAATTTCCGGAAAATAGCCGGTCTGGGTATTCCCGGGTGCAAAAGTTCCCAAGTCACCAACTTGTTCATGTTACATTCCTCAAGAACTACCATGAAATGACCGAAGTCTCGTTCATCAATACTATGATCTGTACGGTTTGTGGTATTTGCTTTGTATCGGTGAAGAGGCTTTGACAAAAGTCAATGTAAAATATAGCATTTCTATGAAGGCTAATATTGTGGAGAAGTAACATACCCAAATTAACTTTAAGCAAGGCAATATTATAAAGTGTTGTGATAAAGTATTTTATTACTTAGCTCAGGAAGCAGGTATTAATTTTGTTAACTTCAAAACAGTTCCTTTCTGAGTCATACAAGGTGAGACAGGAAGTAACTACCAATTCAAAAAAAAGTTATTCAACCTTTTCCCTTAACACAGCTATGGGTACATATACAATAGATGGTTCATTTGACTGGGGTTCATTTGAACCATTTCCTCTATAATTTTGAAATCCAGCTAATTTTTGCTTCATAATATCTAGTTTAATCTTCAATTTGCTTAGTCTTTCAAATTCCAACTCTGCCGCCTGAGAGTCTCCTTCAAAAGTAAAATTTACCATTCTCTTTTTTTCTTTCAACAGTTTCTTCAAACTCACATCATCACTGATCTCCACGAAGTCCTGAAGAAAAGAAAAGTGAAAACTTGTTAACTGAGGTCCTTCCTAATCCAAAAGAATTTCAACTGCAGCAAATTATATTAATAAAACTGCTAACAGCATGGGCCACCATTCTTGAAGTGAACTGCAAGAATAAGAATGCATTCTTGAAACTTATTTGTCTTGCTACATTTTAGATGGACGTGTTGCTACTTCTAAAGCATACACTGCTTTATAGAACATGACAGTATAGAAAAGCACCTTGTTGACATTTTCTCCCTGGGGTGGAGATATATCTGGTTGTCTTTTCTTGAAAGAACTGCTAGATGACTTCATTTTCTTTCTTCCAGTGACATTTTTAACATCCTTCAGGGAATGTCTAACAGTAATTTTTAAGCTCTTTGGTTTCAGAAGATCAGCATTCTCCTGATTTTGCATTCTTGAGTTCTTCCTAGAAGTGATACTCTGAAGCTGATCGGCTCCTTCTGATTGCTGCTGAACAAAATCCACTCAAATTAGAGTTTATCGCAAATTCCAAGGACTAGGACAATTTCTGAATGTATGACATATAAACGGAGTCTTATTACATTTTCCAAAGCAATAAAGAACAACTTCAGAGATATTAGATAGAAGTCAGAAGTGCTGCGTTTAGGTTATTTTCTCTGTCTTCTCATACTTGTGTGCTTACATCAAATATTACCAAATCCTTAAAGTTCATGTTTCAAGAATTATTCAAGGCAGTACCTAATCCTTTTCAATCATCAGGCAATGCCTATTAAAATATGTAGTTATTATAATCTAAAATTACAAGCAGAGAAAGTGAAACTTGAACACTACTGTTCTATGAACAAGAAGATGATACATACAAGAAAGATGGTTATGTCAAGAGCTACAACACATTGCAGAATTTCTGATAAAAATTAAGTATTGAAAAATGAAAAAACAGAATGGAAGACAAGGTAAACTTGCATGAATTGGAAAATGAGAGATCAAAATGTGGCTTACCTTTCTGTTTTTAAGTGCTAAGTAACGAGCATTTTTGAACCATTTGCTGACCTGCATTTTCTATCACAAGTTAGAAACTGAAAGTTTGAGCAGTTAAGAGTTTCTAGACATGAAGAAAGATCAAAATTAATTGGAATAACTATGGGGACCAAGGTAATGTAACATGCACCAAAAGCAAATACAACTTCCTAAGTAAATCCAGATAAAGACAGACACTAAACCATTACCTTCTCAGTGTCAAGTCCCAACTCTTTTGAAAGACCCTCCTTCATAGATCTTGGAGGAAGTTCATTCTCTGCAAAAACTTGGCGAAGCTTCTGGCTCATTTCATAAGATGAAAGGGAGATGAATTAATGCATATACAACTATTTATATAACGAAAATGGAAAGTGTTTCTAGTAGTACCTCAACTGCATCACGTGGAATCCTAAAACAAGGCCTTTTTATATTGATGCTTGAAGAAGCCTTTCTTGTCATATTGTTTTCCTCATTATTGGGGCATTTATTCTCACTTTCATGCAAAGTCATAAGAGAATCAACAGCATCAGACTCCTTTTCTCTTCGCTTTCTTTTGCCAGGACCCCAGTCTTCATCTTCACTCAATTGTTCACATGTAGGCGCATCCTTTCCAAACATTTCCTGGAAGAAGAACTCAAATGAAACTTACTTTCGCAAGATCTAAAATATCCTCAGATTAGGATAGCAAACAACACAGGGAAGTCTATTTTTCAGTAGTATTTCCATGCATAATGATTATCCATCTACATCACAACCAAGGGTAAGTGATACATCTAGTTGGCAATACATGTTTTAAATCAATATGCGAAGCTTATAATGGAGACAGAAATATTTTCAAACAATTCATTGAAAATGATACCAGGATAATATTTCCAGTGAGAAAAAGCAACACTATGTGCCTGTAAAAAGACCCGTAAATTTGACACCCTTGATGTTAAAGCTATCAACATTGGGTCAGTAACTTGTAACTTCCATACCAGCACTGATATTGTAGCTTTATACATCAAGAATTTTCATTTTTTGAAAGACAAATTTTATACACTTACATCATAGAGTTTCTTGTAGTCAACGGCTTTTCGCTGCCTACGACCACAGGCTTTTTCCTCAGACTCATCAGAATCTATGCTGCTATTGACAGAAAAATATTCATGACTGACACCATCTACAGGAGAACATTCACCATCAGAATAACACAGACTGGTAGAACTGCTTAAATCATCAGATGCATCATCATCAGTTCCTTCTGTGTTGATATTCTGGCTGTCTTCTTTCCTCTCTGGATTATAATCACCATCTTCAGAATCATCTGATGGCCACTCTTCTTCAGGATTCAGTAACATGGTATCACCATCAGGTATAGCAGCTTCTTCTTTGAATACATCCTTAATTAACAGCAGAAAGGATTTATTAGTTGAACCAGTCAGAATATGTGGATTTGGTTTCCTTAAATTGAGTAGTACACGTTAGAGAACACGGTCTAATAGATAACAGCTGATACAAAAATTGGAGTAAAATATACGTGAGTGCGTGCGCATGTGCTTATATTTTATTAAATTCTAAACTGATGATTTAGAAGGGGGGGGGGGGATAACCTGCCAAGTACTGTGCAAGGAGAAGTGAGTTCCAAGATGGGCATTCATTGCCTCTAGTATTTGCATCTTACATTCACAAAATTTACAAAACCAGCCCTGCTCCCCAGGAGGAACTGCAATTTACAAATTACAATTACAGTATTCATTTATTTAGTGAAGTCAACGTAGAGGAAGTTGCAACTGACATAACTTGAAAAGCATCTTAAGGAACTCACTATTTTCAGTGTCTAAAGGAGGATCAAGACATTTTTGGTGAAAAGCACGATTGCATGTACCATCACATAGTATAATATCATTGTCTGGAAGTTCTTCACGCGTCTTGCACTTTGCACAGAATATCTACATGTCGAAAAATAGAGAAGTGAATATATTGTTTTTAAAATGTTGAGCTAAATTTCAGAACATGCATGATAAATGGCTCTCCAATAGCAAAATAAGATTAGTATTGAGCAGGCTCACAATTATTTAAATTGAAAGAAAGACAGATACTTGCTATACTGAGCTATATTGATACTTGCTCACATGTTCATGATAAACAGATCCATCAGGAGTAGAGTCTTCAATGCTACTCAATGAACTGAGAGAATCCAACTGGCGAATGGCATCACGAATACCAAGTTTACATTTTAAAATCTGCTTCCGTGCTCTTTGTAGCTCCTTTTCTGGCCTAATCTTTTCTCGACTGTAAGGGAATTTCAATGAAAAAAGAAAATAATGATGAGCCATGGTGTTAGTTGTGAAGGGAAAGTTTGGGTCAAAATAGCTAGCAATTGTTTTCAGATAAGATCACACTGCATTACTGCAAGCTGTTTTCCATGAAAAATGCAAAGCATTTGGAGAAACAAAACCATTCCAATTTATGATCAACCACAGTGTATCCATACTAAGCTTTTCATGGAAAATATAAATTCAACAAAAAGGAGTATATGAAAATTCTAGCTATCATCAAATTCAATTAAACTTATATTCATGTATTGCTCAACAAATTAAATCACTTATAGACCTATATTTCCTTCAAATAATATAATCCCCAACATTTTTCATGTGAAAAGTTTCAAGTTACATAGAGCATTTGCTTCCTTCATATAGTACCAATAAACAAGTCAATTAAAAGGTAGCAGCTCCTCAATCAACTTAAAGGTAAAATATGTATATCATTTGCTGAAGATTAAAAAATAAAGGATATAGGAAAAGTTATCCCATACCTCTGACCTTTCCAACCTTCTCCAGAGTAAGCATCAATAAGGTTCTGCTCTAGCTTCATTTTGATCAAGAGGTACCTTGTTCTCCGCTGCAGGCGTGAAGCATCATCAAGATCTGCATTATTCCTTTGCCTTTTCTTTTTTCTCTTTCTCTTTCTCTTCATTTTTTGAAGATTTACCACCCCATCAGCATCTTTCTCCTCTTTTCTAGAACTATGAGAAGATTTATTGCCTTGTAACTTTGAGGATGGCTTCTGTGAAGACTTTCTGTGGATTTTAGACAAATTTTGTCCAGCAATCAATGTCTTATCTGAAGAATCCTTACGTGGCCCCTTAGCCTTGAGGGAAGAGTCGATAACTCTCTTCTTTGATATGTTAGTGCCAACATTTTTCGTGTGAGATTTTGATTCCACTTTCAGTTTATGCTTCTTCCTTTTACACTCCGTGCGTGCCTTCAAATGACTGGATTTTTTAGATCCTCTACTGTTTAGCTGCTTCTCACTATCCCGCATATTAATATATTATGTGCCAATCCTGAAACTTGAGGCCTGAAATGGATAGAGTGACATCCTTTACTTGTAACGTGACATTCTAGATTAAACTATTCCCACACGAACACAAATTTTGTATAACATAGGACAACAATTGGACAGAAATTGCACTTAGAAGTTAATGTTTCTTCTTATCCATTGTTCAAATATGATACTCAACAACCTTTACAGTATACAGAGACGCAAATTGCCGACTGGTAGAAAAAATGAACAGTACAATTGATCAGATACTTGAGATCACCAAAAGCCAGATGCAACAGTGCCCAACATTGGAGCGTTACAAGTACAGTACTCGTAGATAGACCAGAAAGAACATCGAATCAAAATTTACATGATGAATTTAGCATAAGAAAAATGTCGGGGTCTACGATGTTTAAGACCTTGATTACTTCAAAGGTTATAGAATCGCAAATAAGTACTAATCAGTTATTCAAATCAATAAAACAAACACCTATGATCAGAAGAAGAATGCATACCGAATATCCCAAATTCAAGTTGTAAAGATAATAATAATAATAATAATAAAAGAGAGAGGCCATGAAAGATGGCAAGACCTTGACTTGAATCCAGATGTCAAACCCCCACAAGTTGGTGTTAGAACAGAAGATACCCACACGAGTTTGAGGCAAAATAAAGAAAACAAACCTGAAATGGAAGATGAATATGGTGAAAGATCAGAACTTTGTATGGCTCTAAAGCTATGTGTCTCACATACACAACATGGTGAAAGTGCATGAGTTGGAAGGATTAAATAAGTGAACTTTGATTGAATGATTCATTTGAATTTGAAATTGGGGTCTCAGATTCCCAATGTTGATCCAACCATTCACCGCCAATAGCTTACCCTTTGTTCCTCAAGCGCCACCAACGTTCAGCTTCTTGTTGCCATTCCCATACTATGAGTATCAAAATCTCTCTTTCTTTTCTTTTCTTTTTTCTCTTCTTTTGTGTGTGTGTGTGTGTTGTCTTACAGTAATTGTGGCAGAAACATAAACAAAAAACAAGAACAAAACATTGGTTTGGTCTTCTGGGAAAATCAGGTTCCTTGCTGAATCATAGGCACTGTTGCCCAGATTGTGCAGCCAATGGTGTGTGTCTCACCCCGTCAATGCAACATAGGAAGCAAAAATACCTGAGTTATATATCCAACCCAAGAATGAATCTTTATGTGATCTCCGAAAAGATTGAACTTCGCATAAATTACTAATTTGCTAATTTGCTATAAGGCAACGCTTCCTTGCTACAAATTGATAATGTTACCAAACTAAAATTGGAAAATGCAATGACGTTTTTATTTTGCATTTTTTTTCTGAATAGTTTTTTTATTTCGCGTCTTTTATGCATCAATGATATCGCTGAGTCGTTTATAAGGATTAAGGAACTGATCTGATTCGAAATATAGATCTCTAAATCGAATAATTTCAATGAAGTGCTTAAGAGATTTAATTATTTATTAGTAATGACAGATTTTTTATTTTCTTTTACTGACATACTCATTGTTGAAAGTTACATTAGAATGTTATAGATTGACTATTTAGAAATGAGTTAAGGAGTGGTTTGAAATTTAAAAAACATATACAATAAAAATCATTAAATGGAACATAAGAATTGTTTGTTTTTTCAAATAATTTTTTTTATTATAAGTTTTTTTTATACTCTAAAATCAATTAATTTAAGCATGTATCAAACTCTTTTACTTTTCAAATGATATATTCTTAACTTGTCTCGAGAGCACTTTCTCATTTGTAGAGTAAAATTCACATTTTATGAATTTAAATTTAATATATGATTAATATATTCTTAACTACGTTTTTAGATATTTTTAAACATACTACAATTATGATGTGATGCAATGGAATTGTTACAATTACAATATTACGGTTATAGATAGCATGATATTGACACTAACTTTTATATAGGTTGCATAAGTATGATTCGAATGAATACAAATATTGGGTTCAATATGATACTTAAATATAATCATTTTAAAAAATTAGGATATAAGTAGGATAAAATATATTAAATAATTTTTTAAAGGTAAAATTAATATTTTAATTCTTTAATTTTAGTTTTTGTTTGATATTTTGTTTTGTTTTATTCTTTTTTTTTAATTTTGATTTAGTCTTTAAATTATTTTATTTTAATTTGATCCTCTAAGTTGTCAATCAAATAAGATATTTTTTTATTAATTAAATTAATTATATCAATCAAATAAAAAGAAAAAAGAATACAGTGAAATGATGATAATAGTAATAAAAGTTAAAAGAAATAGATAAAAATAGTAGTTAATAAAATTAAATATAACTTTAAAAAATAACTTATTCAGTTAGCATTTAGGTCAGGTTTCTTATCTTATAAAAACATACATTTGTATGTTTTAAAATAATTGTGCAATATTATATTGGTGTGTTTTATGGTTAGAGAAAACAAATGTTAATAATAAAACATTAAATGGACAGAATAATTATGGTGAGATGTGATAAATGTCCAACTTGCATGAAAATTGGATAGATTCAGTCTCTTGAGCATGAGGTAACACTTGTGAGTGTGATTCTATAGTGAATGGAATGTGGAATGCATGCATAGTGTGAATAGCAGTGTAGCACTTGGAAATTAATTAATGGGTCAAACTCAACTCTTTTGCTCTGCTATCCAAACATTCTGATGTGAAAAGGGAGGAAAACGCCATTTGTAATCTTTTGATCAAACAGGATTTAAGAATAACAGTATATAGCACTTGCCAAAATTTTATTTGAAGTGTTATATATATATATACTGTTTCTGATAAGAAATATTTTTTAAAATATTTATATTATGGTAAAGTTTATTTTTTTAGTGAATATTTTTCAAATACAAAATTTAAAGTCGATGCTTTTCTTACCCAAAAATAAATAAAATGTGCCACTTAAATCAATTTTCGTTTGTTGTTTAAAGTATTTTGGCTTCAAAACTAAAGACAAAATTGATCTCGTATAAAATATTATAATTTCAGTTAAAATTAATTCAATAATCAAAAGCACAAGAAAACAGAAAACAAAATTTTTTAACCCATTTTAAAAATAGGTTATTTTTTATATATTATTAGTATAAATAAATTTATATTTTTAATTAAAAATATTTTAAATTATTTAATATAGAAAATAATAAATTTTAACTATTTAATAATTTATGATGATGATATAAAAAAAAAGTAATGCTTTTATTTTGATGTTGATGATCATGCTTCAAAAACAGTGATGGCAGCAGCTTGGCTGTACTTTGTTTCATGATTGAATTGTTCAATCCTCCCTCAACCACCACCTATTCAAATGACATGGAAATGGAAAACATTCAAGTTTTTTAGTTTTAGTTTATTCACATCAGGTGCCCATTTGATTTTATGAAACCCAATAAATTCTGTATTAATTCTTAAAATCTATGTTATCATGCAAAGAATTGTAGATTTGAGAATAATATATATGATTATTGCGTAGCTACTTTAAAATTAGAGTATTAAACATCTCTTTCCACTGTTAACACTTCTAATCACACATCTAAGTTGTAGAAAGAAAGTTAAGAATTTTATTTTTTATTATTGAGTGTGTAGATTAATTTACATAATTTATTTTTAGTTTAACCTGTGATTTTTTAAATTTCATAAAATACAACTATATTAAATATTCAATAAAAAAAAACTATACATGATAATTTTACCTAAATTCATGACTATCTTCTATATATAAAAAAAATACCCAAATAAAAAAAATTGTTCTTAAAATACAACTTTACGTGAAATTTCTTAAGATATATTTGATTTCTTTTTTTTTAAAAAAAATTAATTTTTTTTTCTAAATATAGTATAAATTTATATTATATTTAAAAAAAATTAAAAACTCTCTTAAAAATAGAAAACAAACGTACCCTTATTTTTTTTCTCGTGAACTCAGAAGTGATTTTGAAAATTATGTTTCTAAGATGATTGGAATGTGTTTACCATTCCATGTGTTAGTCAATAGTTTCAGTTTTCAACGTCACCCCCTTGACTTTCTTTCCTTTATCTCATGCAAAATGAATAATTAAGGCGAGACTGACAAGAAATGTTTCTTAATTATTATAAACTTAGTCAGAATTGTGATGTTTTGTTTGCATATGCTCCAACATGTTTTGGACTTCCAATCCATTGGGCTAAAGTTGGTGAAATCTTACCCATCCCAAGTTTTAATTCAATAAATACATTTATTCATGTTAGAGGCCAAAAAATTCATATCCTTTGGTACATATTGAATGGCTTACTGTGTTATTGTACGACTGTGTTGCATACTATATAGTTTATTGATTTATGTGTTTTTCTTAACCCAAAATAGTTAAGCAACGTCACTGAGATTCTTTTATGTACATGATAATGATGGAAGACTCCTTATTAGGAGTATCAACCCTGCAATATCAAGTTTATTAATTTCTCCCTGAATCCTGGAGCCATGGCCACCAGAGATGGATGATTCATCCATGCTTAACATGTAACTTTTCATCAGAAGTGTTAATTATACACTTTTTTAAACATATATTTTTAATATACTTTCAATGGTTGATTAGTTTTTTAAACAATCAAAACACACATCTTATAAATTAAACTTCTTTTAAAAATTATTTTAATTTTTTAAAAAATAACTAATCACAAAATAGTGTATTTAAAATATTGTGTCATTGATATTCCTCAACTTGTCAAACAATAGTTCTAAATCTTTTTACCTTAAAGCCTATAAATTCTCATAATTACTAAAAAAATGTTAAATATTTTTTATATTTTTAAAATAATAAATGTACACATGATTTAAAAAGTAAAAGCCTTGTAAAAATATATTGTAAATCCTCTTTTCAAACTCTCTTATCACATTAATACTTTGTTTGAATTAAAAAAGAAGAAGAAATGAAAAATAAAGAAGTGCGCGATAAAAAAAGTTAGGAATGTAAAAAGTGAGAAGAAAGGAAAATAATATTTTTCTTAAATAATTTTTATATTCTTATAATATAACAAAAAATAATTAAAGAATAAAGTTGTTTTTTTTATCAACTTTATTCCCTTATATTTTTTCACGCAAGTTAGACATAAAATTCTTTTACATGGGACTCATTTTAACTTTACGTTCCTTTCTCAAATTTCAATCACTAAATGTTATTTTATTTTTGAGTTTTAACATTCTTTATTTATTTTTATTTAGTTTGTCTCATTATGTAAATACATAGACCTAACTCAAACATGATTATTTTTAGTAAAAGATATCTATGGTTTAGAAAATATTAATTGTTAATCCATTGTTTAGCTCAAGAGAATTTAAGAAGAAATAATTTACAGAAGAGAGAATACAGAGATTTTGCAAAATCTTTATTGTTTGCTGAAGGAAAAAAAATAAGAAAAGAAAACTATAAGACGTAATTAGTTTAATTTTCTTCCATTTAGGAAGAAATTGGCGTACATTCTTAAAAATACACTAAAAAGTTACACCTTACCAATACATTAGTTGAATATACTTAGAATGTTGACACACACATTCTTAAAAATATTACAAACAACCAAAGTAAAAAAGGAATACTATTTTTTAAAAATAGAATATTATTTTTCTAATTTTTTTTTAAAAATTTGGCGAACGAAACATCGATTCCTATTCCTAATTTGGGAACACCGAAGTCTGTATTTGTTACAACGCAATGAAGTTGGATCCCACGCTGTAACTCGGAAAAGCATTTGGGCACTTTGGTATTTTCACGCAAAACTCAACTGAACTTGGCTTTGTCCGTTATATTGAAAATGAAGGAACGCAATCTACATAAGGCGTGGTCAAATAGTTCCATAAATTAGTTAAGGTTCAGCCACCTGAAACTACCAAAATACCCTTTCTTCGTTTGTTTCTTTTTCTTTGTCGTTGGGAAACGACACAGTAACGAAGAGAAAGAAGAAGGAGGAAAAGAAGAACATCGTTCCTTCTTCTCTCTCTCTTTCGTTCAAATTGAATAATTGTTGGATGGGAACGTTTCAGAGCTTAAGAAAGGCCTACGGTGCTCTCAAAGACTCCACCACGGTTGGCCTGGCCAAGGTCAATAGCGAATACAAGGTAATTAATTATTTTATATCTATTTTCATCATTCAATTTTATTTATTTTTCTACAAATCTTCTAGCTCAATTAGTTAATTTCAATTTTTCAGATTTTAATTCTCTATTTTATGCGTTGTTCTGATTTTTATTAAGGAATTGGATATTGCAATTGTGAAGGCTACCAGTCACGTAGAATATCCTCCTAAAGAACGTCATGTTCGAAGTGAGTTCTCAAAATTTGATTAATGTAAATGAAAATGATCATGTTTTTCCATTCTTAGCGTGAAATTTGTTTCATATAGGCTTTGAATCTTCAATTTTCTAATGCCTTGGTTTAGTTTCATCGTTCTAATTGCTTGCATTAGAAGAAATTAGAAATGTGATCATTACCATAATGCCAAATTGGGATATTATATGAATTATTTCTCTTTTTGCTCTTCCTTGTAGAAATTTTCTACGCAACATCAGCACACCAACCACGAGCAGATGTAGCTTACTGCATATATGCACTTTCCAAGAGGCTTTCAAAAACACGGAATTGGATAGTAAGTTCTTTTAGTACTTGGTTGTTTGACATTGTTTGAAAGTACTGATAGCTATACAGCGCTGGTAAAGATTTTTTTAATTCATATGATATATTGTAAAATATTATATTTATGAACAGTGTTGGCAACAAATTTGTTATCCTTGCTTTGTTTTTGAAAAATAACAAACATTAGCATAAAATAAGGAAAAAAAGGGAACATTCTGGGACTAAATAATTCTTAGATCAGCTTATTATTGCGAAAGAGAGAGGGAATGAGATTTGCCCACAATTTTACTTAAACTAATGACAATATATCTATATAAACTTTCTTGACGTTGTAACTGAATAATGAAATTACAGGTTGCGGTAAAGACATTGATAGTCTTTCATAGGATATTAAGAGAAGGTGATCCAACAGTCAAAGAAGATCTCTTAAACTACTCACGAAGGGGACGTTTTCTTCAAATATCCAATTTCAAAGATGATTCAAGCCCTCTAGGTAAATTAGTTCTGCACATTAATTTAGACCCTTTTGTTATCTGAAGTTTCTTTTATTTTATGCCTAATTAGATTTCTCTGTGTAGCTTGGGACTGTTCTGCATGGGTTCGAACCTATGCACTATTTTTGGAAGAAAGGCTTGAATGCTTTAGAACCCTTAAATATGACATTGAGTCTGAGCGGTTAACAAAATCATTTAAACAATCACCAGCTTCAGCTCTGGTGTGTGCTTTGCCTTTTAATTTTATTCCTACATTAATTATCCTGTGCAATATTTATTATTATTTTCAGAAATGAATAACTTTTAGCTTTGACAGGTACATAGAAAGACACGAACGTTGTCTAGTGAAGAGCTTTTGGAGCAGTTGCCTGCACTACAGCAACTTCTATATCGCCTTACTGGTTGTCAGGTAAGAATTTATGGGGAAAACTTAGATTTGGTATCTGCATGCTCCTAATATATTATGTCACATCTCTTACCCTGGAAATGACTACATTTTTTCCCCTCAAATAACGTTTAACTTGTTTTGATATCTTGCAGCCTGAAGGGTCGGCTTTTAGCAATTATCTAATACAGTATGCACTGGCCCTGGTATGCATGTTTAGTTTGTGCTTTTCACATAGTGGCACTTTTAAGTATTATCTTAGAATATATTTTGTGTCAATTTCCTGACTGAATAAAATTAGTAAAACATTTTTTTCAAGAAAAGAGAAAGAGTAATGTTCATGTAAAAATTTGTGGATATGCTTGTGAAATGGTATTGGCAAGCAAGGACCTTTCGGATTTACATCCTATAATGCAAAGTTGTTACAGCCTAATTCATCCTTACTTCCTTAGCTCTAGTTTTACTTTCATTGAAAAAGAAAAGACTTCTTCAAAGTGAGCACTCACTTAAAAGAGTGAAGTGCGAAATTTCAACCACTGATGAAGTCAATATTATTTGCACATGCATGACAAATTATGGATTGTTAAAATCTACTCCATTCTTAACAATTCACGTTAGAGGAATCAAATCCTAGAAAAAAATTCTCTTCTATGAATCCATTTACTGAGTATTGTACTATTTCTCTAACTTCATTTTTATGCTTTTGGAAATATCATTTAGGTATTAAAAGAGAGCTTCAAAATATATTGCGCCCTCAATGATGGAATCATAAATCTTGTGGACGTGGTACTTTCTATCTCAGATTAACATCTTATTTTGATTACTTCACTTAAATTTTAAATTGTACTGACAAATGAAATGGCAGTTCTTTGATATGCCAAGATATGATGCAGTGAAGGCTTTACATATTTATAAAAGAGCTGGCAAACAGGTCTTCAGAACCATTCTTTTTGTTATCCAATTTGAATTATTTCTTGTGCTCAATGAGGATTTCCTAAAGGGTCATACTTGTTGAATTGATGATCATTCTTATTCTACAGGCTGAAAATCTTGCTGATTTCTATGAATACTGTAAGCGATTGGACCTTGCCAGGAATTTTCAATTTCCAGCCTTGAGACAGGTTCTTTCTTGCTCATTAGTCATTAATAATAATATTTCATTTGATTTCTCTTAACGATTTCTCACTAAGTTCTTTCCTTCAATAAACAGCCACCTTCCTCTTTTATTGCCACAATGGACGAATACATTAAAGAAGCACCCCTTACAGGCGGTCTTAAGAGACTGGTAAGAAAGAGTGATATATAAATTAATTTTTGAAAGTTTGTCCCTCGTGTATTTTGCATTTGAGTTTCAAAGAATCACTGTGCATCTCTTTCTAAATTTGGATCTGGTGAATCCAAATTAACTCCCAGAGATTGCAAAGTACAGGAATTAAGACATGCAATATTGCAAATGAAGCTTAAGCCACTTTCTCGGGGAGAGGAAGAGCTGAAAGATCTTTAGAACTGAGTCAAAGATTTCTCAGGACATTTGGAATTTCTATTCTTTCATGTTGAATAAAATGTAGGGATGACAATATCTCTAAAATGCCTTAGAAATTGATAGAAAAACTTTAGATCAGCATATTTCTTCTGCATTGGGTTCTAAAGTTAATTTGGCCACACCGATAGATATGGAGAAGTGGTGATTGACCATGATAAATTCTTTTTATTATTAGATTTTACTCAATAATTTTGCACCTATGTTCTGGTTCTAGTCATGTCATATTGCACCAGCCCATATCTCACTGAGGTTTCTGCATTTATTGTAACTGAAATCCTGAAGAAACCACTGTGATGGGCAAAAAATGCTAGTCGTTCTTAAACTTTAATGTATGCCCACAAGTATTTGTATGCTAAGATTGGTTAATACATGTCATGCAATATCAGGAGTTCCCGGAAGAAGATCAATCACCTCAAAAAGAAGAATCAGAACCAAAAGAATCCGAAGAGGCTCAAGCAAATGAGAAACCAGATGAAGAAGTCGATGAGGAAGAACCGGCAGATAAGGATGAAACACAGCCTAAGGAAGAGGAGGCTGAACTTCCTCCTTTGATATCCACTGATGATTTGGTGGTGTGTTTTTGGTTGTCTAGTAATGTTATGCAAGTTTGAGATGTTGGTTAGAGGGAATACATAATGTATTTGTCTACCTTTGCAGGGTCTAAATGAAATAAATCCAAACGCTCAAGAACTGGAAGACAGCAATGCTTTGGCGCTCGCTATTGTACCAGCTGGCGGTAAGGCCTAGAGTAATTGATAGTTAAAGACATAAACTTCTAAAATGCATGCCTATTTAGAGAATGGAGATTGCAATTCGCTTCACTAAGATACATTACATCGAGATAGCCTTTCTGAGGCTCCAATAATTACAACTTTAAAAGTTATGCAATGATTGTTTTGATTTCCATTTGGAAACGAGAATATAAGACATATTTACGTTTGGCCTGATCACAAATAAATCCAAATCTAGCGAAGAAAACTTGTTGAAGCCCAAAAAAACTGGCCATCTTTTCAGCTTTGCAACACGAAACAGATAGGAGAAATGGGCGATGATTCTATATTATGCTAGCACTCATTTCACACATAATTTTATCAAAATTCCCGAGGCTACATGTATCATTGCTCATCCTTGCTCACATAGTTACATACAAAATAAACTTGTAAAGATCTTTTTCCTTTAAACTTCGATCGTGCCCATCATTTAGCTAACCATCCATGCTGTTTGTGTAGGAAATAACTCCAGTGATCTTGCCTTGAATAACATAAGCGGAACTTCTGGTTGGGAACTTGCACTGGTTACAACGCCAAGTAACCATACTAGCCAAGTAAAAGATCGCAAAATGGTTAGTTTTTAAGTTGTATCTCCTTCTTATCATTCTTTAGTTTGAAGCTCATCCGTTTATAATAGCCATCCTAATGAAAACGGACATGTTACTTCTACTCGCTACAACCATCGACTTTTATAAGATATTCATCTCACATACATAGGCTATAGATACAGTTTCACACACGGCAACGAAAAGGTTTGTTTGAAAATGGCTGTTGCGTGCACATACCACATATAATCTAATATAAAGAATAGCTCATAGTGCAGCATTCAGGTCTTGCTAAGTTCTTTAGATGTTAAGCACTGTTCTTTCCCCCCTTTTTTTGAATCAGGGTGGTGGGTTTAACAAGCTATTGCTAGATAGTTTGTATGAAGATGAAAATGCCAGGCGACAACTTCAGCTCCGAAGTTCAGGCTATGGATATGGTGAAATGGATACACATAATCCATTTAATCATTATAATCAGCATGATCCATTTGCAACGTCCAACAATATAGCACCTCCATCCAATGTGCAAATGGCTGTATTGACTCAGCAACAGCAACAGCAACAAATGATGTTCCCACAGCAACAACAACAAATGATGTTCCAACAGCAACAGCAGCAAATGACGTACCAACAACAGCAACAATACAACATGATGATGGTCCCATACCAGTATCCACAGACTCAATACCCTCAACAAATGCCAGTTATGGGTTCTTCTAATCCATTTGGTGATCCCTTACCCATGCCTAGCCATCCTTACAGTTCCATAAACCATCAAGGAAACTACCATTTAATCTAGAGTAGATCTTCTTTCTCACTTAATCCTCCCTTCTCTCCTACACTCCCTACCCAAAAAGAATGTATTATTTATTAAAGTAGGGTAACACTAATTTTCTAATCAAAATATCATTTTTTAAGATTGGCCAGTGAATGTGACATGTACATTTTTATTTTTCATTGGGCGTTCTTGGGTGCATTCTCAAATTAAATCATGCATTTAAAAAATAAAGTCACCCGAGTAAGGCCATAGTCTTGCCAAAAAAATGGTATTATAACTAGCAATACGCCTGGACCCATGTATAATGTCAGGTTTATTGCGTTTACTGTGTCTCTTCAACTGAAAAACCATAAATTACATGACTTACGAATTTGGCCAGAAGAATAGGTTTTCCTTGTGAAATTCATGTCCCGCACGCCTAAATAAAAATGATGACATGTAATCATGATAATAAGGTTATATTAAAAAGTAAAAAACAACCTGAAACTTAATTAAAAGACCAAATTGATTCCATCTCTTTCCTTCCGGCAAGCATGATCAATGATTCAATCTTAACACTAGGATCCTGCATGGATGTATGTGTTCGAGTTGTTCTTTAACTTTCATGGTAGAGACTCTTTCCACAACACCAAATGCCCCTCTGAGTCAAACACAAGAAAGCTTGACCAATGAGAGCAAGGATTTGAATTCTCACTTGGGAAATAAAAGGGGAGGGGACTGCTGTAGAGACACAGTTTCTGAATAAATTCGTATCCTCTGTGTCTCAAGACCTTCCTGTTGAGATTAGATAAGATACAAGTTTTATTATGTAAAGACTCATCGTGATAAGTTTAAAGATCTGACAGTTATATGCAGATTTTGATTATAACTCGTAGATCTTATGAACCATCGTGGTGAGTTCATGCAAAATAAAATCATGTCCATCCTTTTCAATTGTAACATGAGAGAACCCAAATCCTTAACCATACTTGACGATTGGACAAAAAGTCACCTGCAACGTATCTAAGGCTAAGAAGCAGGACAAGATGAGACAGATTGATAATTCTTACTGATTCTTCTGAGTCTACTGAGACAAATTCTTTTATCTTCAAAATTCTAGCACTTCTTTTTTGTATTATTTGAATAGATACATGCATAATCTATTCAAATAAACATCGTGCTAGTAAACAGAAATCACCCCATTTCCCTCTTCCCTCTTTTGTTAAGAGAACTGTTTCACGTAGAATAGCAAAATCGTGCTGGTAACCTTCTATGATTGCATGATCTGCAGCCTTTCAATGGCAATCAATGCTTCAATTACAGAACTTACTAGAAACTAAGCAACGCAAAGTTCAACCCAAACTTGCTCCCCCTTCTAAGTCTTCTAAAATTATATATGCACATGAAACTGATGAAAGCATTGAAAAAGAGCATGCGCTTGGTCGTTCAGACTAGGAATGCTGAAATAAGGTTTTGCTTTATTAGTTACATGAGTATTGACTAGATAGCAGATACTTGATCCAGTATAAATAAAATGTTCAACAATTACAACATTGAAAATATTCGACATATATTGGTTATTTAATATACATATAACACTGAGACCGAAAATTGGAAGAAGAGTTAATTTCACAAAATGGCCAGCACTGCACCTGTGTAAGAATTCCCAACTTGATGCATGGTCTTGAATAGAAGCTTCTGAATCTTCAATTATACACGAATTAAGTTCGCATAAGCTTAGGTCGCAGAAATTCAGATGGAAAGAAGAGAGAGAGAGAGAGAGATGCGTTATTACCATCATCCTTCGTCGTCTAGGTTTTCCGGAAGTGTGAGAAGATTGAGTTGCACAGTAACACGCATGCCTCGAGGGGTGGCATTGGAATTGCCGAATTGGTTGTTTGACTCTGAAGATTGAATGAAGAAGAGTTGAGAAGAGGAGATGGAGAATTTGTGAAGGAAGGGAGAGGGAGGAGGTGGAACCCAGAAGGAGGAGCCAGGGAGGAAGGGAAGCCAATCGGGGGTGGCCTTCTTCACGGTAATACGGTGGTGGTGCTCCTCCAACAACTTGACGTCGTCAATCTCCACCCATTTCGCTTCCGAAGATCGGTGACGATGGCTCACTTTAACGCCCTTCGCCGTTTGGGAAGCGTTGCCGTGACGGAGTAGAGTCTTGGAGTGGGAGACGAACCTTGCCATCTGTAACCAACCATATGCTCCTTCCTTTATTCCAACTTTGTTATGTAAGTCTTTTATTATTTTTAATTAGTAGTATTTATAATTAATTCAGCCGGATCATTATTTAATAAACATTATATTTTTTTAATACAATAGCTTTATATCACTTATCAACGTGATAAAATTCAAATTAATATATTTTGACCTTAATTCGTTAATTACAAAAAATTTGTCTTTTTCCGTGATTATATATACTCACACGTATTTCTTACAAATATTTTTATCAAGAAACTATTTTTTAATATTTTTCTGGTTCTTTGAGTGTAAAGCGAGAGAAAGTAAAGAAGAAAAACCAAAGAAAGAAAGTAAAAAATGTAATAAAGTTATTAAGAGAAAATCACTATTTCAAATATTAAACTTGTTAATTTTAGTTATGATTGAATATCAGTCAAGTTACTTCAAACAATTAAAAAAATATAACAATAAAAATAATTAAAAATTAATTAAATTAATCACAATTAAGCTAAAACAATTAAAGTTGATCAAGAATTGACTAAAAAAGTTAGTTTGAATTGTTTATTTTTTAACTTTGAACATACATTAAAAAAGGTTATTTTAAAATATTTTAATTATAATTTTTAAATAAATAAAAATTCTTATAAAATATCTGAATTACTATAACTTAATTTTTTATTATATGTAACATATTCTTTTTATGTTATTTTAAAAATATACTTAATTTTGTGTTAATTTATTATTAAATATATTATGTAGTATTTCTTTTAGTCTTTTTTATAAGAAACAAAGTTGAATATTCTTTTAGTTCTTATTTAGTTATAAGAAATAAATTATAGATTCAAGATGTATTAATTGCTAAATTTCTTTTATACATTTTTTCTATTAGTATCATTAAATATACAAATTTTTAACTATACTATTTAATAGCATAGATATTTTTGAAATAAAATTTATATTTATAAAAAACATAACAAAATTAATTATTTTTCTTAATCCTAATAATTTAATCTTTTGTTTCCTATAAAAAAGATTGAAAGAAATATTAAACTAATAAATTGTAAATCAGTACTTGCATCAATTCAATAATTAGTCTAATTTAAAATATATTATTAAAAATAATATATAAGAGAAGACGGTGTAAAAATAATATTATTGTCTTCAAAACTAAACAAATGGATAATTTATGAGCTTTTTTATTGGGATCATTACAAATAAAAAAAAAAAGAAAATTTTATTAAAAATTACGTTGATAATGCATAAAAAATTATGTTAGAAGTGTATTAATAGTATTTTAAATTTCTTAGCCAATACTTTAAGAGTATTAGTTATAAAATTTTAGTGTATATGTATTTTTAAAATTGGATATATTTCAAATTTTAAACGTATAAGCTTTTTAAACTTAAATTTCAAGGATAGAAATGAGCAGGGTGATAGAGTGGGGATATAGAAATATAAAAATTGACCTATCTAAACTTGAAGGCAATATAGTTTGAGACTGCTATTGCAACCTCCGAAATTCTAAAACGCAAAACCAAGGTATTGCATGCAATGCAATCAAACAAAAATTAAATCATAAACAGGAATGAGTCATAATTTATTTCACAGTAACCCGAATATTTGTTTATATACATATTCATCTCTCAGTCAGAACATCTGCAAAACTTTGGTATTTATGAGCTATATAAGGAAGTGAAGCAGAAGAAACCATCTTATGGTCACTAAAGAATTGTAATTACAAAAATATATACAGAGAATGTAAGTTTCCTCTCACTCTCACATCTCAGACAAAAGATTGCTAATTCTGCGGAGCTCCTCCAGAGCTGATATGGCAGTAACCTCCTCTTTACCAATCACAGGATTCTTTGACATGTTATCCACTGATAATGCTCCTTCTCCCGGCTCTTGTTGGAAAGCACACTCGATCACCTGCCACACAAATAACCAGTTCTTAGGATAGCATGTTTGAGGTCTACATAGCACATTTCATGTAAGACTAAGGACCTGTTTGATTTCAAAAAATATTTTTTTTATTTCACTTTTAATTATAAAACTGTCACCTTATTTTCATTTATTTTCTGTTTTTAAAGATTTGTACAGAAAGGATTGAAAACATTTTTATTCTCTACTTGCACTATTTCTTGTACAAATCTTTGAAAACAGGAAATATAATGAAAACAAGGTGATAATTTTGTAGTTGAAAGTGAAAATAAAAAATAAAAATTGTAAACAATTTCTAAACCAAACAGCCCCCGAGTTTTTTCAATCTTCAGTTCACTCACTACCATGTCATTGAATTTGAGAGTGACAATAAGAAAGAGCTTTACCTGAATATGCTCAAGCATAGACTGCCCAAGATTCCGCAAACTGTCCATCACATTCTGCTCTGTAGAATCCCCTTTGCAATAAACAGAACTACAATGTCCATTAGCTGTAGAAGAGGGGATTGTATTATTTTGATTGTTACTGTTGTTGGCAGGTTTTACAGCCTCAGAAGAATCTTCTCCTTTGTCTGACATAAACTCGCCATTGTTCTGCCCAAATTTCCAAAGCCACTGGAATTTATTCAGTTTTCTGTCAGAATGTGTGGTTGAGTTTCGTGTAGAATTATTGATATTATGGGACCCTGATATCCGAGATTCGTTCTTGGGATGATCAGATGTTGGAACAGGTGAATCAATGGGACTACTATGTGAAGTTTCATGAATTTCATCAAGGGATAAATTAGACCCAACACTGCTCTTCTGCGAGTCGTTTTCAGGATAATTGGCCTCGTTAGGAGGACTAGCAGGGCAAGAAATTATAGGTGAGTTATCCTCACTGATGTTTCGACTTAGACATCTATCCTCGGAAGAGTAGCAGTTGCTGCCTTCAGAGACATCATCTCGATGCTCCTCTTGGACTGCTGTAGAAAGATTATCCTGTTGGCGCAAGATTTCATGACAGTGCCGCGTTTCTGTATCTTCCTCAAAGCCAAGTTCCTTAGAAAGATCTTCTAACAAATTGCGCCTAACAGTTGACTTAGATTCCTTTTTACCACTCTTAATCCTTGATGAAGGGTCAGATTCTGTTCTTCTCAAACTGAATTTCACTTTTTCTGTCCATCCCTTCTTCCTAGTTGGAACCTCTTTTTCTACTCCATCTTGCTTATGTTCTTTAGAACTATGGACAACTCTCCACTTTTCTTCCCAGTAGCTATCAGGTAACAATTTCAGAGGATTTTTTGGTGAAGCTGATTCAGAAGTGTGAGATTTAGCAATAATTGATTTACCCTGGTTATGATAATAATCCACAAATGAAGGCATTGAAGATGAAATGTCAGTACTTAATGCAAGAGCCTGCAAGGATTTAGCCTTCTCTATTAGTTTTTTAATGTCAGTGTCCTCAGGGAAGTTTAATAATCTCTGGAGACAGATTGTTGGATTTTCAGTTGCAAGCAGTGAAGATCTTAAACGAAGTATCATCGCCACAGCCATAGCTGTGATGAATGCTCCACGAGAGGATTGAAAGATCCTAAAACCAGAGTCTGTGTTATCCTCGATGTGTTTATCCATTTTACTATTATCTGATAGAAAGATTTCATCCCAGATTATCAAGAGGTTGCCTAGTGAAAATTCCCGTCCAAATAAAACTCGCAACCAGCGGAGAGCAAAGTATTGGGGTTCAACTCCAAGCTCAACAAGATGGCTATGCAGAGATGAATCCACATGAGACAACAAATGATACAATGCAGCAGAAGCTTCAATTACAGGAGGCAAGCCAGTATGAGACCCATGTACAGGTGAATAAGAGAAGAAATCGGCCATTGCAACTGAACCACGAGCACCATTCATTAAAGCATCAAACATGCAGTATGCATCATGTTCGATGAATTTCTCAGATAAAACAACGCCCAGTTCACCTTCAGCCCCGTAAGCATCACTTAGCAATACAATGGTCTGTATCTCAGGATCAAGTTCATCAAGACTCTTCATTTTCGTTGCATTTCCATTAGAGCCAATTTCATCCTCCATTAAGTCTGAAGATTTTCTAAAATCAAAGCTGTAAGAGAGATCATTCTCTTGAAAAAAGAGATCGTCAAATCTGTCTGTGAAGTGATCTTCATAAAGCTTTCGGACTTCAGAAAGACGTTCCACATCAACTTGGAGAACATAAAGCACCGGAGCAAGTAATTCATGCATTCCTATAAAATAAATGAATGATAAAAAGGTCAATAGTGTCAGATGAGCTATTTGTATGACATATATGACTAAAGCACAAGTTATATGGAAACCTGGAAGCCAAACTGGAGTTGCTATAAGGTGTTTCACCTGAGTTTTGGACCACTCACAATCCAGTTATTTTAATTGGTCAGTAAATTTTTTAAAATATTTATTTAATATTTTTAAAATTTTACATCTCGTATCCAATGCTATTAATGCAGAACCACTATATATATACATTTGCTGCCAAACTTAAGGGAATTTATAATTTATCAAGTAACAGGTTCCCCACAATTTAATCATTTAATGTCCTCTAATCAATGGATCTCACAATAAAGAGAACCATGATAACATTGAAACCATACTTAAAATAAAGTTGGTAGTACCATAACCATAGCATAGCTACTTAGATGGAGTTGGCAGGAAAAATATGACAACCATCCCAAAATGGCAAAAGATATTTATGACAAAGTATAATTCACTTAATTTCAAGGTATTGTCTACAAATGTTGCTAAGCCGAGCAATTTACCTTGTCTATAACCACATTCTGGGTGTCTGAGACACCATAGTAATAAAATTCGTCTCAATATGCCTTGGCATCCTGGTGTCTGAAAATAGTTGCCATGTTCTGGATATAAACGTGATAAGTCCTGATCAACCATCCTCTCCAGCTCCGCATTCCGAAAATAGCGACTCCATGTACTGTCTGCATGAAGCCATATTCTCAACACAGAGCATTCAATGGCAAGACACAGAGAGGTTAAGATAAACTAGCTAGTTATCTACTTAATGGTATTTCAAGGTTTGGCAGAAAAAATATGACATGTAGTCTTTTCTATCTGCTTCAACTTTATCTAAGGAGTTTGTTAACTGCCATTATTTCTTTGCTTAGCCTTTTTGCATCTTTAGTTGTGACTAAATGAGTAGAGAGTATTGCTATATTCCTTTGGGGTGGGGAGGGTATTTTAGCAAAACCTTGGACAACAGCAATAGGTATATAATCTGTCAACAAATAAAAGGATACCAGAGGATGAGGCTTGGAGTGTGAGAAAATATGCTTAGATTTTACCTGGATTTTGTGAAAGTGGGTTGTCCATGACAAGATCAGGTGAACCACTTCCATCCTTGGGAAGATGCGGATCAACCAGGAGGCGTCCTCTCAAACTGGCATACCTGACAAGATAATAAACAGTTCATGTTAAATAAGATTCTCCCTCCCACAAAAAATCCAATTAGCTGAACAAATATGCAATTCTTTTTGGAGCGCAGCTATGCCAGACATCAAGAAATAGGTGGAGCAAGCAACTCAGTAATGGCAACACTACACATGGAGCATATCCACAATACATGATTTACCCAAGCAAACCTCAATGCCAAATGAAGCAATAGATTAATTTTCTTTTCATTTCGATGGGGGGACAAAAGAAGATAACATTGATTTTAACTGAACGAATGCCCCCCCAAATTCATAAGCAAGCATTCTGGAATAAATTTTATCGAGGTTTCCTGTATTTTCCGTATGATTATATACCCATCATTTAAAAATAAATAACTTGCAAGGCGTGCTTTCCTTGTTATTATATAGTTGAAGGGAAAAAAATAAAATAAAACCAATTACATAAAAATAAAAACAGTTATAAACTTATAGGATATCAGCGTATCATGAAGCTTATCATCAATACTTAGGAAGTGCATATTATAATGAAAGCAATATTCTAATTCTGACACGAAAGAAGAAGGGAGCGAAAAAAAACAGACAGCAACAGACAAGGTAGCATTGGCAAGAATACCTATCACTATCGACAAAGTTCTGAAATTTGCACTGAATTGGACCAATACAATTAGCATACAAAAAAAACAAATTGGATTAAAACCCACAAGAACAAAAATATTTAATTAACATCCTCATCAATAAAATACATTGATTAGGCGTGATCATAGAGCTGGTGTTACCTCCTTCTCGAATTGGCGGTGGCACGACGAAGATCATCAATGGAAGAAGAAGACGGTAACACCCCAAGATTTATACGCCACTGCAAACCTCTAAGATCCACGAATCGCCGACTCTCCGGTGCCGATCCCTGAGAAACGGTGTCGGAGCTTAAAGACGGCACCGACGACGATTCCGGGAATGGAGGGTCCATCAGAGCCGGCGGCATGATTTTCCGGTAATTCCTCACCGACCCAGATGCTCAAAAGCAACGAGAGTCAAGAAAAACTAAAGCTTTGCAGAAAACTCAACAAAATTTGTTTCAAATTCAGAAGCGGGACCCCACGAAACGTAACATGCTACTTGAATTCCCTTCTGGGAATGCGAAAAATTGAAAATTTGAGCCACGCAACACGAAATTGTTGAAGAAGAAACGGAAATTTATTGTGGGGGATAGAGAGAGGAGGAAATTCAGGTAGGAAGAAAAAGCGAATGAAAGAAGAGAAAAAGGTGAATGTAGGGAAAAGGGTGAAATATCGTGGCAATTTATGAGACAAGAGTGTGGACAGAGAAGGAAAATGATTAGGAGAGTTGGATGTTTGTTCTGCAGATTCTCTGCTTCTCTATCTCTCCCTGTCTCGGAAAAAAGAGAAAGGGGAGAGAGAGAGAGAGAGAGAGAGAGAGAGGGGCGAAGAGAGGGAATAGCAGGTTTGTTTGTGCACGGAAAAGGAAAGAAAATAAAAAGAAGAATAAAAAGTGAATGGCGTATTTGTATTGTGAGCAAGTTGTGATGGAGGGTAAATTGAGCTGTCATCCTCTGCAAATTTCAACCCCATTTTCATTCTCTTAGTGGAAATTGCCATATTTTTTCTGTGACCTTTTGATCAATAATAATTAGTACTCTTGATTAATTTATTGTTATATACGTTGAAGTATTAGTATTTGTTTTTATATAGGAAATTTATTTGTATATATGTGTGTTTATATTTGGAATTATAAATTCATAAGCCCCTTTTTATATTTTACCTATCATTGAAAAAATAAAGTTTGTTTGATGTTTCAAAATTTAATACTTGTATGTAAACTATTATTTTTATAATATTTTTACATACATTTATAATTGGTGTAATGCAAATAAATAAATAAATAAAATATACGTATAAAAATAATGAGTGAAAGGTAAGGAGCTTTGTTGAGACATATTCTTATTGAGTGCTGTTAAATGCTTTTAGCTGTTATTGCTAAGATGAGTCATATTCTTACTTACCTGACGTGGCGGATACGTGTCTGTCTCTTACCAACATTTTGTCTAAACCTTTTAGAAAGTAAGGAATGCATCATTATTCAACATCAGGCCGTATGAAATGTGTTATTAGGAAAATTAAAAAAATATTTGCATGTTCTTCCATAAATGTTCATAATTAAACTTTCCGAGCACATAAATTATATATCAGATATTGTTCTAATTTTATAGTTTAATATATAATTTTAAGTTTAAATTTTAATAAATACAATCCTTTTAAATTCTCAAATAAAAATAAATTTCGTCGGCTAAGTGCTCATAAATTTACACTTATGTAATTAACATTCAATGACTAGAAACAAGTTGAGTGCGAGTCTATCTGAAAATGGTGGATCCATGCCATGCATCATGCAGATAACGACACAGTGGGGTGCTTCGTAACTCTCAACGGGTTATGCCTAATCCACACATTCAACGTCCACTTATTTCTCTTTTTGTATCAATTCATCCACTTTATCAATTATCAAAAATAATATCCAAAATAATAACAAAAACACGTGTCAGTAAATAAAAAATGGAGTATTACGTATGTAGTTCTTGAGGATATTATGAACATTGAAATTGGCCTAGCAATGTTGAGAAATGGCCACATTGGTCCATGAAGTGAAGACGGTACGAACTTGTCACAGCACATATCACATTCGCTTGACCAGACATTTTGATTGGATCAAATCCAGTGTATATTTTCTTCACATACATGCATGCCCTAAATCTAAATGTTGAATATTAATTTTGTTTATTTTTTTCATAGTTAACTTAAACAACACGGTACCCACTACTCAGAAAATATACTATATCTGACAGCATAATGATATTCTCTTATGTTTCCACTTTGCTTTGGGTTGCTAGCTACAGCTTCCACTTGTTTCTATTGTAATTGGAAAGTCAGATAATTAAACAAATCAAAATTCAAATAAAGATAATCTTCTGAAACATTATAGCATAGTTTGAATGCTTGATTAATAAAGCAGGAAACAAATTGAAATGGGAGAATATTCTTGTCAAATAGATCTGGATACTTTCATATCATTGACATGACATGATATAGTTATGTTAAAAAAAAGGTGCAATAAAATTTATTAAACCTAATTAGTAAAATTTACAGGTAAATTATGTGAATCCTTATTTAATAAAAATATATATTTCTTTTTCTAACATTATTATATAATATTGGTTAATAATAAGAAAGGATTGAAATTCCTATAAAATTCTTAACCTTGAGGAGAGCAAGACTTGATGATCCTAGCAGCAAAAGTTCTACTAAAAGGGGTTCATCAGAAACAGTTCCTCCTCTCTTTCAACACATGAATAAGTGGAAAACACTTGGAGTGACTTCAATCAAAGAGCAAGGCCACTCGAAAGAAGAAAATATAAATTCTAAAGTGAGCTAGTTTTGGACAATTTACGCAGTATTATTTAAACTTTTGTTTTGTCATTATGAAAAGCCACTAATTAGATATGTTCAACCATACAACTTTGCATTGGAACGATAGCACTCTTTCCAAGTTTTAAATCACGTATCCCTGATGATATTAATAGTGTTCATTTTATTAAATACCGTTCAAGTGAATTTAAATTTAGACGATTCCTTTCAACTAACACGAATTTAATTTATAAACCCAATTAAGGTTATCACCACTTTTAGTTTTATTCATCTACTTTGAAGAAATACAGAACTCGTAATCCTTAATTTATGACCATGAGATTAACATAATTAGTACATGCCACAATTGTAGTCAAGCAAGTGATCAACGCTAAAACAAGGAATTAGTAGTGATAAAAGTTGTAAAATTATCATTTTCTTTTCTTGATCTGCTCGGTATTCAATGGCCTTCCATCAGTATACTCTCTAGACACACGCGTAAGAGGATAAAAATAAAAGTTCATATTATTCCAAAACTGGTCAAGACTTCATTAATACCCGTCAAGATTAACTATTGATGTCATGTATGCTTTCAAAATATATGAAAATAAAAATACTTAATGTGTTTTTAATTATTAATTTTTAAATGATTTGAAAAAAATAATCAAATAATAAATAATTAAAATTTTATAATTTAAGTGAAAAAATTCATATTAAATAGAATAATGAATTTAATAATCACATGTTAACTGGTGGTGGAAAAAATGTTAAATCGTACACTTGTGTTTATTCCCTCCTGAAATGGATTTATATTAATGTTATACTTAACATTCTTATTTTATTCAATAATTTTTTCATGAAATGTAATTTTTATTAATTGTTATTGAGTTATATCTAGTTATCTATCAATACTTCAATTGTTCATCTAAAATTTTATTTTTACATATTTTTCAAAATATATCACGATAATCTTAATATTTATGTATGAAGAATTAAATGATTGCCAACTAAAGTATGCTTGGCTCTCCAATTAATCTCTGATGCTACTTCTGTTCTTTTAATGTGCTAGCGGGGTGTTAGGGTCCTTATAACCATTTAAATTTATAATATTTATTATCTATTAAAATATCCATTCATGTCAATTGAGCTCACCTCTCAAGTTAAGGTAGTTTGTGTATTGTGTATACTGGATCGTAAGTGTTGTTCAATGGTTTTGGCGACACCCTTTAACTCTTCATCCAATAATTTCTCTTTCCTTTTTAATGGCTAGGAAACATGGGTATGATATGGTCTTATCTCTGCATATAAAAGTGCATACAGCCATACAAAAACATAATTTCTCTTTTAAAGATAGTGCTATGTTATATCATCAGAGAAAATTGTATCAATCGACCAGTTCAATGTTCCAAGTACGTTTTTAATCTCTTCAATTCTTAAGTGAGAAAAATCCCCTATTGTGAATTTGTCATGTTTTCCTTTCACTTCAATCAGGCTATAGCCTGGTCCTTTCCTTAATCCACTACCCTTCAACTTCTTTCTTGCATTTGTTACGTCATTCCACATCCCACCTGAAGCATACAAATTTGATAACAAGACAAAAGGTGAGGTAGTAGTAACAGGTTGAACTTCAAGAAGCTGCTTAGCCAGGCTTTCCCCTATGATCACATTCCCATGCAGCCAACATGCTGAAAGCAAGCTCCCAAATACAACAGGATTATTCCAATGAGGGAATTTCTTCATGTACTCTTCTGCCTCAGACAATCTTCCAGCCCTTCCAAGCATATCAATAAGACATGAGAAATGTTCGATATTTGCCGTAACCCCATATGCTTCTTCCATAGAATTAAAGTATAATTCACCCTTTCTCACCAACCCTGAATGATTACAAGCAATTAATAGACCAATAAATGTAAATGAATCTGGTTTTACCCTTCTTTTTTTCATCTGCTCAAAAGTTTCTATTGCTCTTTCACCTAGCCCATGATTTCCAAAGGCAGCAATCATGGTGTTCCATGAGACAAGATTGTGATAGGACATTCTATTGAATACATTATGCGCATGTCCAATTGAACCACATTTAGCATACATGTTCACTAGAGCATTATTAACTCCTACATCCCAACATAGTCTTGTTCTAAATAGATAACCATGAACTTGCTTTCCATGGCGAATAGAAGCATGCCAAGCACAGGAAGATATGATGCTAGCAAAAGTGAAGTCATCTGGCTTTATACTACATTCGTTCATCATCTCTTTGAAAAACCTCAGACATTTAGCTTGATCATCAAATTGGGAAAAAGCAGAAATTAGAGTGTTCCAGGAAATGACATCTTTTTCTTTGATCAATCTGAAGGCCTTCTCCACTTCTTCTACAAAATTAGACTTTGAATACATTGTCATCATTAAATTTCCAATAAGAGGGGTGGAGTCCAATTCAAGTTTTATAGCTTTGCAATGCAATGACATTCCCCTTCTCAAATCATCTGACTTGGTGCAATACCCCAACAACCCCGCAAAACTAAATCGATTAGGAACAAAACCCTGTTGGAGCATAAGCTTGAACACTTCAAACCCTTCCTCAGGTTCATGATTCTCTATAAACCCACTGATCAGGGCATTATAGGAAACAGAATTTAGACCTGCTGAATTGGAATACACTGACAAAGCATCACTACAATGACCACACTTCATATACATAGTGATAAGTGAGTTGGAAACAAAGGAGACAGATGAATACCCAGATTTTAGAGACTGTGCATGAATCTGTTGCCCCTGCTTCAATGCCACAAGACTTGCGGAGGCACTGAGGGCACTGGCAAAGGTGAACTCATTGGGCAGCAACTGCATTTGAGAAAACAGCTTAAGTGCCATCCAATGCTCCCCACATTGATCATAACCAGATATCATAGCAGACCAAGACACTATGTTACGTTGAATCATTTCATCAAACACCCTGCGCGCAAGAAAGACTTGGCCACATTTTGCGTACATATTGAGGACTTGGTTTGAAATGAAAACATGGGATTGCAACCCTTTCTTCAAGACAGCAGTGTGAAGGCAAAAAGCCTTCGTTTTGGAGCATTGATGCAGAAGTGTCCCAATGGTTTCCAAAATCATCGGAGAATGGAGAGGGAATCAGTCTACTAGACATAGTACAGTGGAAATTTTGGAATACAAATCAAGGTTACCAATTTTCATCAACATTCTATATAATTCTTTCTTTTTTTTTGGGTCAGAACATTCTATACTTATTAGGGGGATCTGACAGCAAACACTAGGACTTTCTGTTTTTGTCAACCACTATCTTCTTGTTTAGTCTTGTTTAGCGAATATGTATTTATTTATTTTTTCAATTGTCAAATGTTTGCGACTATCTGGTCCAACGAAATCTATACCTTGAGTTTTTTTGGGTCAAACACCTTATGGCCTCTTTTTGGTCAACAAATACCTAAAACGCTTTGTTTTTGGTCTGAAATTCCTGAAGGTTTAAGCCACAATCATTTGCAAATTACTCTGTTAAATGGGCAACAAGCCCATTAATATATAAAAGGAATGGTTTTGAACTTTATGCGCTCAACGGCCTAATATTTGATTTGAGCCTGCCCAAATGAATGATTTGGACTGACACGAAGTTTCATTTCAGGGTCTTTTACAAATGTCTCTCATTATCAATTCCTTTTAAATGCCTAGCAAATCGGTTGTGAAAACAATGTCTTTAGGGCAAATAAATCCATTTCCATTACGTCTGTATTGACAGATGGAGCAAAAGTAATGCGCATTTGTGTTAGCTCATTTTAGAAAAATGATTATTTGTTATTTCTTACAGCTTCATGAAAGAAAAAGAAAACCTTTAAAACAATTACTAGTTTTTTCTTAGAAAAATGTCAATCAAACTTGCACAGCAAAGGATATAAAAAGTGTAAAAATCGCATTGATAAAAACTTCAGGGATAAGTTGAATATAGAGTAAAGTTGATTTTTAAAAAATACCCAAAGTTTTTACCTTCTATTAAGAATCCATCATCATATCATGGGGTTTAGTTTAGTTGTTTAGCAAAGCACAATGTATTGAACATCAACCCTCCCTCCAATTTTGATGTTTAGCTACTCAAATATGGTAATGACATATGAAAGAAAGCACTCATTATTATAGTATCTTTCTCTGATTTTTTTCCCTTGTTCATTAATCAGGGTAATTGTGATTTGATAGGTACTCAACGAGTGTAGCGTAGCAGTGGAGAATAACGCCAAACCATGAACACCAACAATAAAGACATTACTTTCTCCGTGATTCTTTCCAATTAAAATAATGAAATTCAGAGCCCACCTCCCCCCATGATGGATGGATTAATTATCACAACTCTCTAAGCATGGACCAAATAAAAAAGGTTAAAGCTCTTACTAGGGTCTAGATAGGGATTGCATTAACTATTATTATTCAGTGAATCACACGGTTAGTAAAAAAAAATGGGGTCAATTCAACAAATTCAATGACTCATCAACACTGATCAAAACTATGACTCGTGAAAATCCCTAAAGGGGTAAATGGGTAGAAAAGTTGAGATGATTTGGGGTGATTATGTGTCCTTAACTGGCATCAAAAAGTCAGGTGGCTTTTGTCACATTTGACAACCACTTTTGTCCCCATTTTATGAATGAGTGCATGTCGTTTTCAACGAATCCACCAACAATAGGGCGTCCTATTACACATGGGTAGAAACTAAGAGTGTGAAGAAAAAATAAAAATCAGCAAAAGTTTTATCAATAACAGTGGTGCCTTATTGCAGTTTCCAATATTGCACTTATATTTGTTAATCATAGTACTTTGAAATTCTAATCACTAATTATAGTTTTCTTACCGGACAGCTATGAATCAACTGGCAACGTAGAATACTAGAAAAGCATCACTTTTTTTCAATTCTTTCTTGGCCCTTTTTCCGCTCTTTTAAGTCATGAAAATTTGAAGGCATGATTCTCACAAAATATGGTTTATGAGCATGCTTGTATGGTTATGAGTGTACAATAAACACATGCAATGTTATTTATTTATTTATAGTTTAAAGATGGGTGGCTATTGATTTTTGAAGTTGATAAAGTTTGGGTAATGGAAAGCACGTTATTATCACTGTAATGTCTAGCAATACTATATGGTGAAAACATTAGTCATTATGATAAACAACAATATTGTGAAGGTGTTTGCACATCTTCTGACAAGACATAATCCATTTGTAACATTATAGATTCATCCAAAAATCTACCCATAACAAAATTTTGCATAAGTTTGTGTATTTTATTCATCATTTCATGAATCATGATCGATATTTTGGAATCGTCTAGTTTCATTTTCTCTAATCGGTAAGGGCATCTTAGATCACATGTGGTGCATAAACATAAAGACAAGGCAAGTGGGTCTCCCAACATGTGCAATGCAGAAACCAACCCTTTAAGAAATAAACTTAATTTTCTCTGAACATTTGCCATTTTCCTCTTCCGAATAACAGAGCAGAACTGAAACTCTACGTTTGCATTTTTGTTCCTTTCCCTTACAAGTTCCACTATTACAGTTATAATTAATAAAGCCTCTGGGATATTACTGAAAATGAATTTCACAAAATGTCTTTTCTTTATCCTAATGGACCTTCCAAAGGATATAATCTCACTATCCATTCTCTTAACACTCACTGGCTCTGGTTATGCAACAATTTTTATCAATCTTTTGCACTTTATTTCCATTTTTAATATTTGGATTCTATTATTTTGTTTAACTAGTACATTTATATTTTATTATCAAAAAACAAAAATGTGGATAGGGTAACTTTTGGCTAATATAACTTAAAACGGATGTAAATGTCAACATCACAGCACCAACTAAATTATTTTACACATTTCACATATGAAATTATGTCATTATTAATCGGCTTTCTTTTGTTTATTTTTTACTTTTTTTTTGGGGTACATCCATGAATCAGCTTGTTTAATTATTTCAGTACTATGAAAAATATTTCCATGAAGAATAAAAACGTTTTATAGGTATTTTTCCCTTTTTTACTGAATTTCATTTTTTTTATTTTCTTATTCACCCAAATTTTCCTATTGTAATTTTTTTGGGTTAAATATTATCCAAAAAAATAAAAAAAAATTGGATAAAAATTAAGTTTTAAACTTCTAACTCATATTTTTTAAGTTTTAAAAAAATTAATATTCAAGATTTGGTAATTTAAATTTGTGATCTATTTTACATAGACTTATTTCTCGTTGTGCTATCATTTTTAGGAAAAAATAAATAATTAAAGTTTCAACAACTTGATATTATTATGATGTTAGGAAAAAAAACTATATCATGAACATTTATCAGCAATGGGTTTAATAACTCATATTATGCTTGGTTATTCCTAATTAATTAAAGATTTTTACATAGATATGGCGTATCCTATGCATTTGCTAAAAAAATATTCAAACCAGCAATCATCAACTATGAACATTAACAGAAATCTTTCTTTCAGTCTACTCACCTAAACTCCTTTTGACTCTCAACAATAATAAATATATTTTCACGAAACGTTCACATGGACAAAGTTTGATAATATACACAATCAATAGCACCATAATGATTACAACCCTCATTGTTTAATTTGCAAAGTCATGAACGTAATCAAAATCATATTATGGTAGTGTCCAAACGTAAAATCCCAAGAATTTTTTTATTAATTAAGGTTGCTAGGATTTGGAGTTTGGGACTTCTTTATTAATGTTTCCCATCGATTTATAGAAAGTTGCATCTACGCGGCAATGGAAATAATGAAAGGGTGCCCCAGATGGATCAGGAGAATGACTAATTAAAGTAGTATTAATAAGTTAATAGTAATAACATAATTATCAAAATACAATAATGTTTTTTGTTAGACAGAATAAATCTCAAAGGGATTCGATGTCAATTTCTTTAAGAAACGATATTGTTTATATAATTTAACTTCAAGAAAAATATTGTATACATTTTTATTATATTATTTACTAATACATAATTTGACTACAATATAAAATGTATTACTCATAAAACATTAAATGTAAACTCTTACTTAAATATAAGGCTGTTTAGCTCAATAAAAAAATGCTAATAACATTCAGTAAACCCTATGAAATATTATGATTTTGTTAATGAGTTTCAATAATTTTTTACGATGATATTATTTTGCTTGATTTGAGAAAGAAAAGAGAAGAGAAAATAAATAAATAAATGAGTATAAGTAAATTTGCAGGTTATTTAATATAGAAAAATATAAAAGAAGCTAAAAAAACAATATTTTCTGATAAAGACATTTAGGTTTTCAAGGAAAAAGTTATTTTTAACGAAAGAAATACAACTTTTACAAATAAAAGACAAATAAAAAAAGGTAATTTGTCTTTTCTGTATTTTACTTTTACCGTAGAGAAGAAAATAAATATTATGTTGATCTTTTTTTTTTTCATTGATTTGGTAGGTATTCCTAAGACATATATATTATAATGCATTTTACTTTTCTTAGTTTTTTTAAGATGAGACTGTAACATATAAAGTATAATGTTAATATAATGATAAATGTTAATTTTAATTTTTAAAACTGAATTTAAGCACTTGACATGGTAAAATCTTATTAAATTAACATTTATCACATGTTTATAAATTTAACATAAACAAATATTTTTAATAAAATGTATTAATTTTAAATGTTTAAATTAAAGATTAAATTTTGAAGTAATATATACTTTACTTTAACTGAAACAAGAATAAATTTCTTAAATGTGTAAAATCTCTAGTTCTATCTCTACAAAAAGGGATCAAGAAAAAAAAATTGGCATGTATTAATTTTTTTATGTATTTTTTATTGTAGGATAAAATTATGGTGCGCGATAAAAAAAAATTTAATATATTTAACACAATAATTTATATTTAAAAAATTAAATTTAAAAACACAGATCTAGTTGAAATAATCACGGGTTTAGTAACTAACGTACATTAATCTGAAAAACTAAAATGAAATAAATAACTTTGAAAATTAACTCTTAAATTTTAGTAAATGACTTTTGTGAGTTGTGATTGTGAGTGTGAGCGTAATAATATAAATGTAAAATGGAATAATAATAATAATAATAATATGACCCTTTTCCGTC